CGGACAACGCATTGCCAGCGCTGAGGGATTGACAAACATGCAAAACTGTCAAGATGATACCTATGCGTAACTTTATAAGTGGTTACGAGGAGAACTTTCGGTCTATTTTATGCCTTCAGTTACCTTTGGTTTTTTACGCGAATTCACATCCTCATGTGCACATTCTATCCACAGAGGAGTGAAAAGGAAGAGTGCAAAAAAAAAAACGAAATGATTCCCTTCTTTTCCCCATTGTTAATTACTCCACTTCCATAGTCGAATTAATTGTTTTGTTTTTTTTTTGGCTGGAGAAAAAAAAAAGATTGCTTTCGCCTCAACTTTAGTGGGTGCGTGTGTCGAGGCGCGGAGTCCTGAAGATCCGCCGAGGTGTGAAGCACGACAGTGTAATTATTGCGTAGCTTGAGTGAAACCGATGCGACATTCGCCTGCTCCGCAAATGCTGTATTAACTGGCGCCATTTTCCCTCCCATTTCTATCAGTCAGCCGATCCCCAAACAGTCAAAATGGAATCAAAAGTAAAGAAAGAAAAAACGAACATATTTTAAACTTATTTTTTGTGTCTTCAAATGTCAAACGTAGCTTTTTGGTTGAAATTTATGCCTTAGAGAAGACTCATGATTGCCGCATTGGATTTAGCCTGCTTTGCTCCTCTGTACTGCCTGTCGGGCTCAAAATCAGTTGTTCAGTCTTGATGAGTTGACGACGATGAGGATGAGGAGTGCGTTGCCACTAGATTATCGCCACAAGGTTTTATGGTGCAAACAAGCAACGTTGTTTTACCAGTCCCAATAAGTTGCAACAAATTAAGGCCTCAAGTGTGTGGCTCTGACTTCACCAGACTCGCACTTTGGCGGAGGGGTCTTTTGTCATTTCAGAAGGCTCCACGAGGGCGTTAAGTTGATTCCGCCTGTTCGACATGCTGGTCCAAATATAAAATTTATTACTACAACAATGTATGGGACAGAGGTGGAACAGATTGAGGAGGATAAAGTCGAAAAAACTTTAGCACAGGGTAAGCGGATCGCCACCATCTGGTTGGTCGTACGTGATTAACCACCTTCAAAAGTTGTCCTCTCTTTTACTTACACTCACCAAGCACTTTGGTTCATTGAAGTCATCTCCTTTTCACCACTGAAGTTGCCTAAAGGTTTTTTATTATCTTGCCTGGTTTTAATGTGGAATCTGGCTTTTAGGTGATACGGTGGACGAGAAGACGTCCACGGTCTCCTCAAGCCTGAAAGGATTGTGAAAGCAGAAGAATTTTGGACCTCCTCTCAAGCCTCGAGTGTAGTTGCTGCCCCTCGGTTCAACACCCCTTCTAATTTGGGATTACTTAGGGGGTTAAGTTGACATTGGAAAGAATTACGCACTTGGAAGGGAATGGGGCGGGACTACGCGGGTTCCATCGGACGAGGCAAACACACCTCGACAAACGCATTCAAATTGAGTTTCCGCCATCCACCGATCAAGTGCAATTTAAACACAAAAATGTAGTGCATTGAGCCACTTATAAAAATCACACGTAACTTCCAACTGCTCCTTTGAGAAGGACTGCCTGATTGGAAGATTGCTGATGGTATTGGTGACACAAAAAACGGAAATTATGTCAAAATGATTTCTAGGGAAGGTGTAGATAGTTCCATGCTCCATTTCAAATGCGGTGAAAATGAGATTTTAATGATAACTCTGTTTGGTCCTTCAGCCTCCACTATGAGACCGTCGATCGTAGAATGCCAGCAGAGGATTTCTGTAATTTGGACGTTTATAACAAGACTACGATTTTGTAAATAAAACCAGAGTCTGTTTCGCCTTGAAGGTCACCGTGTTGTCGTCAGGGCCACAGGACGAGGGTAGACTGTGAAATGACGACCCAAAAGGCTGGTCAAGTACGAGAGGTAAATGGTACTCGTCCAGAACCAAAAAAGACAGGTGCAAAGTTGATGGGGGAAATCAGGCATCAACTCTTGCTGTAACGACTGCAATACATCGTAGTCAAACTAAAATAAGCTTTTGTTATGAGGGGCTGAAGGGCTGCGAACTTCGTGGGAAGGCAATTTTGGTGAATTGCGGAGAGACGAGAGTCCATGAAATGCATTGTGGCGGCACCTAGTTGGGCATTCTGACACTGATTTTGACATATTTGTTGCTAGCACAGGTTGAGGCATGTTTGACATTCACTTACTGCTTGTCTTTTGTCCTCTCTTTCCTCACTCTTGAACTCTTCTGAAGTCGAAGTGGAGCACTTTAACAGTAGCGAAGACGAAGCTCAGAATGTCAACACGACCCAACAGAAAGTTAAGTCATCTATTCCGAATTCTGTGGACAATACTGACGCGTCTTCTGTTCTGTACTTCATAATAAAATTGCATAATGTGAAAGACTGAAGTGACTTTTGTTAGGGCGATTCGGAGACTCGACTAATTTTATCCATTTATCTCATAAGTGGATTTTGGTCCGTTTCAGCTGAACAGCACACTGAGGGTTAAAACGTCGGATGGTGGTTTAAACAGTTGGCCTGAGTTGCTTTGATTGTTTGTCAACTTTTGCGCACCGTTTGCGAGGGCACTCGCAGGGCTCCAAGCCTCCACACCGACCGGATGGCTCGAATTTGGACCATGTAAGAAGCCGTTTCTCGGTGTCATTAACTCCTTTGCCTCAAAAATGAGTTTGTCTGTCCACATTATTTTTACACGAATGTTGATACTGAAAACGTAGTGGCTGTAATGTCAATTAACCTAAAAAAAGAGACTTTAAAACCTCGTGCAGAACGTCAATGAAGTTGATGTTGAACACGGTCACATTCCTTTGGTCCCCACGGCAATGCATTTTCAGCTTCTTTTCTCGATCTATTTATCAAATAGAATGCCATCTTTCCTGGAATTTTCCTTAATAATTGATTACAATATTGCTTTTTCACCAGTTGTAAAAGAATGGCCTGTCAAAGCTAATTGAGGGCGAGCAGGGAAAGTACGCTGAAACCGAAATTGCATTTTCACCGCGCAAATGGGCTTCATGTGAGTGGCATGACGCAGCGAAATAAAATATAAAAATATTGCTTAAAGCTCCTAACAAGTCGTGGCTGAGGAGGTTGACTGAAAAGCAAGGCCCTGTCAAATTCGGTTCTGTTTTAATCATGCAAATCACATCCATTCACAAGAAGCTCTTTCGCACGCCGATATCAAACAATTTACGCAAGCGTATTATCCCATTTTTAGCGTTTGAAGAGTCTTGAAGACGTAAAACCGCATCACACTAACCCTTTTACCTCCGTTAACAAGGTGATGACACTTAATCTACAGCTTTTAGCATGTGACAACTGCCACTGCGGACCAACATCGAAACGTATTGTAAGTACTGCAAGCAAAATGTGAAACACAAAAGGTTCTACACCTCTGTGAGTAGTTACAACTTTTAAGGCACCTTTGCATGCCTGTGGGATTTATTCTTTAAGCAAAATGTGCTATCGGTTGAAGGATGTGAGGCTTTCCTGTTCGGTGGTGCGGCTGCAATGCAATGCATTTTGCTTGCTATATCTGATTCTTTTATGCAAGTTTTGAAAGGCAAATTCCTTTTTTAAAGGTGGTGCATGTTGAAAAGGACTGGTAAGAAACGTGAAAGAAACGCAGTATTTGCAGTTCCAAAGGGTGAGACACACATCCACTAAGCAATGTTATGAAAGTGTTAACCACCTTCGGGTACCTAGGTTTTAGTCCTCCCAACTTGGCCCTTTATTGGGATGTAAATCAAACCAAATGTAAAAGCGAGCATTTTGCATCCAAATTCGAATTATAAACACCAAGTAAGGAAAAATAAAGCGGTAACGATAATTGATGATGACAGGGAGGCAATGACTGAGAAAATTGGGACCATTGTGTATTTTCAGCGCCGTTTTGAAACGGTAAAAATGATGGGGAATCGGCTTGCCATTTTAGAAATGCGAATCTTGTGAGGACTCGGAAGGAAAAATGTGCTGCCGCCTCAAATGCTGCAAGAGTTGGGGAATAGACCCATTTTAAGACAACTGACAGCCTTGGATAAGTCTTGCAGGTCACCATCGAAACAACGAAATGGATTAATTAAAAGAAAATGCAGTGGAAACGGTAGCCTTGAAAAGACAAAGTTATTCATTGAACTAGTTTTTCAGGTTAATGTGCTGATGAAAATAACAATGCAGTACAGTTAAAATAAAATATCATGTTTTACCGTTGCTGTGTGCCATCAAAATAGTCAGAACAGCAAAGTTTATTGCCGCTTTTAAAGCTCTTTATGCGTCCTTTCTCTTCGGTGAATATCCCTTTATGACTATCGAGACTTTAATATTGGACTGCCAGCCTGACCCTAGACAACCATAATGTGGAGTGCTAAAACGCGGAAAACTCGAATGCATGCCGAAAATGTTTATAATCACGTAAAATTAGTTAGCACTGTAACCTGACTGTGGTTTGTACCTATGCTGCACATAAAACCCGGAATTTTGGAGTCTAGTTGCTACAACATAAAACAATGGTGTGAAGATAGGCATAACATCAGCATTTAATTGTCCAGTTAGAGAGGTATATCATGGGAAGTTATAGAACATGATTCAGATTGTCAAAAATGTCAGGATCATTTGTTGTCCTTTGCTTTGCTTCCAAATATCTTTTCTCCCTGATAATTCGAGGGCATTTACAAATTATTTAGGTAGACAAATGGAATTTAAGAGAGTGCCTTTGGGAACTGCTGCGCTATGTTTGATATGCGGAGTCTTAAGCTCTACAGCTTAGTAAGGCATTGTTAAGTGATGCACAATCATACTCAAGTCAAAATTCACTGTGGCCTCAGGAAGGTAAAAGATTTCTCAAATGCGTAGCCAAGTTCATTTGCTTTGCGCTGCAGACCGATGTCCTTAAGGTCAAAATTCCCACTGATGCTGTGCGAAACCACGGGATCGCCCAAAGAATGAAGCTTTTAGCTGTGATTCGCAATCCAGATATGAGGTCAAACACCCCTCACCTCCACAGATGGCCAATTCAGGCAGTCGTTATGACAGTGGAGGCGTTACCACCATTGCCACTCATAAGCACCGCCTTATCAGCTTGCTAGCCAATCAGACGGCACGTTTAGGAGGACACAACCAATCACAGTTCGGCAATAGGTGGTTAACCCAAGACTTGGATTTTTCTCCAGCTTACCCACAGACGTGCTACGTACAAGCACTCTCCGCTATGTCTCGAAGAGATGAAGCTTGTTGTGAAAAAGCGGCCGAAAATGCCTTTTTACTCAATTGGACGCGCGACCGCCTTCGAAGAACCACACAGAAACTTCGACGTACTATGATCACCACAGCAGATTGGCCTCCTCCTCGAGTTATCTTCAACTCTGAAGTGTCAACTACTCATGATAGAGATGAAGACAAAACAACGGCGTGGTTCTTGCCTTGCTGCTTTCAGGGTTGTCGAAATCGATCACCCGAAGTTGAAGATTCAAAAGGCACTAGACTCTCGCAGATGCTTATGGGGACTTATAAGAAGGAAAATAGCGTAAAATGCAAGAATTTGATGCTTAGAACGGGTCCTGATGGTAGTCTAATCTGTCCTGATCATGTGGATGTATCCATGCTGATCGAAGGATTCCGGGAATTCGAGCGACGGTTTCAATATGGTACGCTGATGCCCTTTGCAAACGTCCTTCCCAGTATAAATCCAGCCCGACATGAAGTAAGCCAGAAGGCGAAAGATGGAGAAATAAATGAGCAAATTAGTGGTTCCTCCGATTTAAAAGATGAAGGGAAGAACAAGAAGGGGAAGACGGATAGGGTCTTTCAAGAGAGCTACCAAGATGTGTTGGTGGTTCAGGATATTTGCGAGGAGTGATTGGACCTGTTTTTTTACCAAAATGCAGTCTACCTCCCTACTACCCTTCCTTTTTTACAATGCCATATAATCGATCTTATAATTAAACGAATAGCATGTAAAGTCTTTTAATGTGAGGATTTTGTTTCGAATTACCTGGTAAGAGGAAAATTGTTATCTGGTTCACATCGACACTGACCTTATTCGTTATACCTTATCGATAGATTTACCAAGTGATTAGTATTTCAAGCCAATAGCTTCATCAAAATATTGAAAAGGATAAAGGAATGTGTTGAAAAATCGCCTGCTAGCCAGACTGTTAGTTTGCCACAAAAATTTCCTTAACTGGTGATTGAAGTTTGAAGAATTTTTGTTTCAAAGAGCAGGATTTTAGTTAGTCGAAGGAAGTGGTGGTGCGTGAGAATGTCTTAAATATAATTAGTGTTTGAGTTCATCACTAATCTCGATTGCTATGATACTCGTTACCTTATTAGATACCTTGGTTAATTTTGCTATGATACCACAAAAAACAAATTTAGCTCAAATCTGTTTTTGTTGCATATTCCAATTGTAATTTTAGTAATGCACTAAAATGTCAAAGTGTAACCAAAATAATGGGAACTATTTTGAAGATCATGAAGCGGATGAAATGTGCATGTTCTATAAAGTACTACAGTGAAGTGATCACTTTTGGATACAAATGGACCATTAAGGACTTCGTTACTTCCCTTATTCGAGTGTAGCTTTTCTAACCTCGCCTCCTCTCGAAAGAACGCATTTCACGGTCCTACGAAACTACAAGCCAAAAAGCTTATGTTTGTCCACTATTGCACCCACAGGAAATTGCGCCACTCCGGCTTGTGATTCACGCATTTTTCCAACTGTGCTAGGACGACAAGGAAGAAAGCAAGATGATTTTGTTTTATAGGTCTCCACTGTGTCTTCGACAAGGCGTAAAGCAATCCTCGTCGTGAAAATGCTAATCACGACTACTCCAACACCGAAGTCGCACTTAAAATAACAAAATAGAAATAAAAAGTCGGATAGCACACACAGATTGCTTACCTCATTGGACCGAAAACGGATTTGTTGCTGTCTGTCCACCAATCTGCCGTACTGATTAATTTTCCCATCATGAGCCAACTTTGAAGGAGCTAAGTAACTACTGTCCACGTTTCGTGCATCCAGTTCACCACCTCCTCATTCTCCTTACAAGCGATGCCGCTAATTACAGATCCTTTGCAGAGGTTGAATCGGAGGCCCTAAGCATAATAGTAATTAAAGATTGCAGATGACCTACAAGGAGCGGTCAAATGAAGTTGAGGCTTTCGATTTTGCGCGTATGCAAAGTGCAGATGCCACCTTCCCTGCAGAAAGCCTTAGGCACACCTTCTGCAGCAAAATGATGTCCCTCTTCTCAGCATTAAGCCATTTAATTGATGCAAGCATTTAGAATAGTTGTTGTATTAGTCAGTCTGATCTTTTTTTTTTTTGTAATACAACAGTAAGTACGTCACGTCCGCGACCAAAGCCGAATGCATAATTCACCACGAGACATATCACACTGCAGAAATGATACAGTTTGTGAAGGTATTGGAGGGGTTTCACAAGGTGTATGGAATCAAGGCCTAAGCCTCCTTAACGCCTTTAGGGAGGATTTTGCGAAATGAAAGTTAGTTTAGGGGATTTTTGTTTACGTCTCTTAAAATTTATGCTTCAGTTCTCGAACGCTAAAGTCCGACTTAGAAGTAGGCACAGATAGTGGATTGTCACGATGAGTCACGAGATTTCACAATTTAACCATATACTGGACAAAATTCACACACGACGGCCTTTTGGCAGGCTAACGATGGCAAAGACCTCCGGAAAATCCCGGACTTAAATGCGAATTTAAAATCGGTACCATTTTTGCGCCTAACTGGCACGGCAGTCCATGAAGGTGGATGAAGAGGTGTAAATGTTGAAGGGGACGGGATGGAATTTGTGGAAACATTCTTTGAAAACTCCTGGAAGACGACAGCAAATGCTCTACTCAAGTAGAACATACAATGCCGACGTGCTTTTTGGTTCAGAACCACTGGGTCGACTCAGGATGCCGATCCGCTCGGCGGTCTAAACTCCAAGCCTTTCCAGTAACCTCAAATTCTTCTGCCTGCCTAAAATGTGTGTCTTCTAACCGAGTACCGTGTCCTTGATTTCGTCTTTTGGAAGTTCTTAAAGGGCCAATTTGCCTTGGCGACGGCAAATATGTGGAAAGATCTTCGTGCTCATGGGATGCGTGGCAGACCACCGTCCAGGGGGAGTCCATTCGATGACCCAAACTCTCGGTATGAGGAATGACTGTCTTCGAATTCGTGCTATGCGTGGTGCCCCTGGGAAGGAACTTAGCGATGCTGTGCAAGAGGTGCAACTCTTGCAGTGTAGCACCTTTAACTTCATGTTGATGAGGCTGACTTGAGTGTCAATTGTGCTTTGAAAGTGGTCTCTGACAAACCAAATGAATTGGCTTTCTTTGAAGACCTCCTAGACTTGATTTTTTTTCAGAAACTCACCGTTTATGCATCCCCTTGCAAATAAGTGCTCCTCCTTGCTGATGTTTTAGCTAAAATTGCTTTAAGCAAATTTGCTTTGAATTTTTTTCTTATTTTGCAAAATAACTGTCAATGTTTTTGATCCCATTTTTTTTAACCCGGCGATACCACATGACATTTACCACCCACTACGCGGTTGACTGCTGGCCTCCTGCCACAACAAGTATGGAACGTTTGTGGGGCGAACCTTTCCGCACAAGATTTGTCAAACTGGCAGATAAAATTATTGCTTCCTTTGCATGTCATTCCTCTAGACCGCATATCAAATTTTTTTACGCAAAAAAGACCAACCTTGTGACTCGACTACGACCTTTCAAACACTGAGGACGCATGACAGGTGGTTTATAAACACGAATGCCAAATAGTTGCCTCCTATGCGTCGCAGTCTGTAGACAAGTATGCTGATGAACTTTGTGATGAGGAGACTTTGACTTTTGACTAACGAGGGTTCAAATGAGACCTGTCAACAGTGATGTATTACTGTCCACTATTAAGTAGTTCCTTAACTCATTTAACAACCTAAAATTTATGGATTTAGAGAATAAGAACGAGCAAGAGGAATGTCGCTTGTACATTTTCATGTTCCACATTTATTGGGCTGCGACTATTTGAAGTAGAGGCGATTGATGTAAAAGCGTAGCTTATAAAACACGTTGGCAGATGAACGGTAATGCGGTGCTCTTCCAACTCTCGCCATGTCTACTAGACCCTTTCAAAATGATTTTCGTCAAAAAGTGTGGGGAAAGAAAACTTAGCTAGGGAGAATAATGCGCGGGAAAATGTATGAACAAAACCCATGCCGTGGCCAGGGGAGAGTAATTTGGAGCTGCGTAATGAAGACACGCGTCAAAATCATTTATTATGCATGCGAAGTACAAATCCACTAGTATTTTTAAAATGCCATCTTGTGAAGACTTTGTTTGGTGGAAAAAGTGGAAAGTCTTGTGTTCACGCCAATTTTTTCCCTCACGCGGAACAAACTGCCCCATTTTTTTCGCGCAAAGAGACGTCAGGAGATGAAGGCAAAAAGAAGTGAAACTGCATTGTCTATTGACAACGCTCATTAGCCTCATCCACCAGCAGTGCCACTTAGCTATCATTCATTGTCTCTCATCAATCTACGACAAAAAGTACTGCATTGAATTGCGCAATTCAAACAGATTAGCCAAGATTGAAACAATTCCACTGGTATTCGTTCCTTGTCATTTGAGATTACTTATATTTCTAATTTCGCCAAAATATCAATAGCAAAGGCGCTATATGCGAGAAAGATAACTTTTGTCCTAAGAGTAGCTACAAAATTTACATCATTTCTCAGTGAAAAGTACTGTTGGAGACAGTGATTCATCGCTTAATGCAAGCCCAATTTGGTGCAAGTTTTTAGGCCCTAACATCTAAACATTTCTTCCTTTATGGTGAAAAAAATGCCCATCGCGATAAGAAGATGTAATTCCTCAGGAGTAGCAAAAACACAAAGCACTGCACCCACTCTCTCTCGGTCAATTGACAGTGAGCCCATTTTATAAATACTTAAAGTACGAGTAGTGATACTGGTAAATTTAAGGCAAAATCATAAAGACTTGATATTAAGAACTGAGAAACATCACGCTGAACCGACGGACTGACACTACTTGAATATTTCCATCCCTACTTTTCAAATCGACACTTTTGGTAAATCAATTAGAATACCAACCAAGAAGCCGAAAACGAATGCACGAGCGATTATTTTTGCGTCTTACTAGACACTTAACTTCCGCCTCACCAGACATATCTGTTTAAGTTTCAATGTCAATCATTAAAATGGCTGGCGCCATGACTACTAAAAAAGCGCGCCGAGAACTGGCGTCGGGTAACCGTGGCGACCGCGCGCAAAGGCACTTCATTAAAGCGCAGCGACCAATAAACACAAAACATGCATCGAAGGTCGCAAAACATAAAATTTTGTCTGAATATTATGATTGTTTTATTGTTACTTTCTTAAAGTCACTTTAGCGTAATTGTTTACCCTCCTTCATTCCCAGGAAATTAAAAAAATTAAATCCCAGTTTTACGCAAATAACGAGGTGTTAATTATTCATTACGACATAGAAATAAGTGATCATTTATTTGGACCTAGTCTTGCGGCACTGCCTGCTTGATTCCTGATTCCTCCAACAGTAGCGAACATGCTAATCTAGGCCAATATTTAGAATTTTGAATATAAACTGAAAATAATTCACAAGATTATTGTAGCATCCGAAGACTCCCCACCGGATAGAAGAAGCATGCTTTTCAATTAGGACCAAGTAACTAGGCCTGAGCATGGCCCGAAGGCCACTCCACGCGTACAAAAGCCAGACAAATCCTAGTGACCGCGAGCGTCAGGGAATCACATAAACAAAATGCCCTATATATACCGCCCCGAGACTTTGCGTTAATTATAAAAGGCAAAAAAGCGATATTTCTGCCTCTCGCTTGTACGAGTTGATGTTATTTTTAAAGTTAGCTTGCTTTTGCTAGGTGGGCAGGACTTTGGGCCACATCAAAACCCCACGCCTACATTTTTTGTCAAAATACAAGCATACAGTCAAGTCTCATGCCTTTTACTACCAAACGAGAAGTTTCAACAAGACTCGGCTGATTAATCGCATAAGATAGAAGTGGAAGGGGTAGGCCCCACGGCAGAAGCAAGGTGACCGTCAAAGTGATAGTAACTTAAACAAGTAGTCGAAAGAAAACAAAATATTGCATCAAGTATCTTCTTATGAGCGACTTTCTCAACAATCCACACAAGACACTTCCAACACCAACCAATCACAATGATTCGGTGCTACAGGAAGACACCCACAAGCCAGCTGCATCAACCATCGACTCCTTTAAGACTGCGCTTGATCCCTTTGACAGCTTCAGCTGAATATGGATGTACGCTTGATCTAAAAACTTAAATAAGAGGAAGAAAGTCTGCCAACCATCACGTGCGGCCACGGTGGACGTTGGAACAGATGTGTAACAGGAGCACATGACATACCACAGCCTCCTCTTGATGGGGTACCTGGCAACTCCATTTTTAACAGCCACACGTGAAAATGTAAGTAAAACCCTGAAACATAAAATCTTAGTTCATAACAGGTGTCGGTCAGTTGCTAGTACCTTGACAATGGAAAGCTTAACTGGAGTGGATGCCAAAGACGGACGTCGTTCTCAACCCTACTATTGGAAACAAATTTGAAATATCCCCTCCAACTGCACTGCCAACATTGACACAAATGGTAAAGAAGTAGAAAGGGATAGTAACGAAGTCAGGTTCACTTTCCATTGCCACCAGTATAGCGTCTCGAGACTTCGCATTTGACAAAAGGGTGCAAGAGACTGGCCTGATAATTTGCATTCAGACAGAACTGGTAGACGGTTGGACTTTGACACCATTCCAATGTCGTCCCAGCCGGCAAAATCCTTTACCACTTCCCATTAAGTGGGAGAAACCGTAATTCGCTAAGCATCCAATTAATTATGCTACCATTTCGAGAATCGTTTTAGGTCCCCTTTTTATGGCAATAGCACAGTCGAGCCTTCCGTAAATTGACAGCACAGAACACAGAATTTGTCCAATGTGTTTACGATGCCAGAAAAGTTGTGACGTGATCAAAACTCCTCCCCTCAAATCTCAAAAATGGTTTGCAAAATTCGAATGATGCGAAGGCAGCTTTGTTGTCACATTCAATGCACTTCTTAGCAATGGCTGTCACATCTCTGCTTAAACCTTGCCACATTGTCAGAACGTTCAAAGCTAATACGGTGCAACCAATTGGACAGTCTAACATGCGCCTCTAGAGTGTCCAAGAGTAAAACCAATTGACCCTTGCCAATCGATGTCCGCAAAGGAGGTAAATAGGCTAATCCTCGGATCCAGAAAACACCTTCTGTTCGTCCTTTGTGTTTCAAAATTGACCACGGTTTTTCACAACTTCTTACCACTACACCCGTCCAGCCACCAAGACACACGCATTCGTGAGGCTCATCACAACTGGCAAAGTCGTGCGTTTCCTTCATGGGACGCTTGTAAATCCCAAACATAGACTCAGGTTAACTCCAACCGGCCATCAACTGGGCGTGTCCCTCGGGGATAAATGTGAAAGCATGAGAATGTTGTGCCTTACCTTGTGTCAGGCTGAGCCATAATTTATAGTAAGGCTTTAGTTGGTTTCAACAAAGGGCGATGATTTATGAGTGACCAAAACCTCGTTACCTTGGCGACAGACTTGTTATAAAGGCAGTCCTATACCTTGCCTTGGGAGAACACTGCACCTAAAATTTGGTTTGACCTTCTGACACTTTAATGGGACAGCAACCGGGGTACAATGCACTCCATCGCTACGTCATCGCGCCCCGTCGGTGGCCGCAGCCAAACCGGTCATTCTGCATGCATGTCACCACTCTCGAGCAAAATGCAAAGCAATTAAACCTTTTCTACCTTTTAACAAATTGGGACGAATACATAAGTACAGAAAATTGCCCTTATTTTTTTTTAGACAATTTTTTTGGTCATGTTTCAAGGCTGTACTTTCTCCAAAAAGGTGCTACCAGTGGATAAAAATTCTACCGAGGGGAGCTGCATAGAGCATTCACTTAGCACGAAGCATTTTGACGACTCTAAAGCTTACCTTCAGAAGAAATTGCAAGGACCGCCGAAAAATAGCACTGCAAATAGAATGTCATCTCTTAAAATAAAGCATTTTGGAATGTGACAACTGCTCGAGCGTTCTCGTCTACGTTTGTCTTGAGTACTGGGAAGACCTTCTCGACACGGTGACTCGAAATGCTACGTTTTCCATCAAAAACGGTAATGCTTTCAGGCAGAAGAACGAAATGCTACAAGATGACACTCAAACAGACGCTCAGTCTCATTAACCCGCAATCAGGAGGGAATTCGTAAAACCAATTTTGAGCCTACCATCTTTAATCGGACCGATGACATCTTCTTCCCGGTCCATCAAGGCTTGTCGACAAACATTCAGCCAGCGTGTGGCACATGCCACACCCTCGGCGTTTCACATTTTAACGAATGGGGGATAAAATTCGTCTAGCACATGAGATGTCTTCCGCCTCTTTTGCCAAAGAAAACAAAAAAAGTTTACACTCGCTGAGCCTGAAGTAAATGGTTGCCTGGTGGCTGAGCAAAGCGACTTTTTTGATGTTCAACGCCAAGTTTGTTCATGTAAGCAAAAGTACATCTGCCTATTAATCGGTCAGCTTCATTTGGCCATTACTGTTGCAATAATGTCCACTTCTGTCCACTTAGGCAAGGCCATTGTTAAAAAAGAATCCTATTTTTGGCAACATCAAAGGACATCACATCAGTCTCCTCAACCTTGAAAACGAATCAGCTCGCAACGAGGACGCTGCGTCTGATTTGGCAAAAAAGTACTTCCCTCCTCGGCAGTTGGTAATAAAAGGAGTGCTAAATAACCGCGCACGGATTTTATGAAGAAGGTCCGATTCAAATCGAGACTTTTGTAATAAAAAAAGACACATTTGTTATTATTTTTACTAATCATAGCAGACATTGTAAATCAAGGCAAGTGAAGGCGTCGTGAAGTACACTGTTAAGGCATCATAAGGTTAAGATTTGAGGCCTGTAAAACGGTGCCGACGTGCCAAAGTTCATCACTCGTCTTTCAATTACAAATGTAGGAGTATTGTAGAAAAGCTTTTTTTAATTCAACAAACACTCATTTTTCGGATTAATTTAGCCGTATTGACAAAACGCCCGGCATCAGGTGTTAACGAGGTCTCGAGTAAAAAGCCGACATGCACGTCGCCTAAACTGCAAATATTACACGAGAAAAAGCATTTTAACTTTAAAGGAGTCACTTTTGTCGGTTGAAACAGCAAAATTTCTGTAAATCCTTCATCATGGTCGGCTAAGCACCATTGTTAGTCCTGCCAATCCTCTCTAAACAGGGGAGCTTGAAATACCTATTCTTACCTTTGACATTACAATTTAAGACTGCGTTCATAGAAGGATACCACTTCTTTAATAAATTTATCTCCTTTTCCGGACTCAGTATCGCATATTTGAAGCTACTTGTCATACTCACTTGTGTTTTGAAGCAACCTAAGATGGCTAGAAGCTTTGGTGAGCAGCAGCTGGGACATTCAGTTAAGCAGTATCGCGAAGATCAGTTGTGAGCACAAAAAACAAAATTTTACCACCATAACAACAACAGTTGTGTCGTGACAAAGTCAGGAAATCTTCATCCGAAAAGATCAAAAAGATGGTCTATTATTTGCGCTGCAATGTCTACAAATGCTTAAAAGAGCTGGAACTTTCCTAATCGAGGCCATCATAATGCAACCAATGCTAGACTTCTTCATAACGTTTTATTTGCACAGTCGCACAGACAAACCGACTAAATCCTCTGATTGTAATGAAACTTAAGAGCACGATGCTTGCTCTGAATAGACTGCTGCACGCGTTCAGCGAAGGCACTCTCATCGAAGGCGTACGTGTGTTGGTTGTGACGAGAAAGGAGTTGACGGAAGAGGCCCTCTTCGTCTCGGCTTCTAGCATTAGTGGAAGGTCTGACGTCACCTCCACCTTCGTCCTACAAGAATAAATGCAAGGGTGAGTCTTTAAAACTATTCATCTAGTGTACTCTTATAGTCTAATAAATGAAGGAAAGTTCCGTCTAAAGATTCCAATGAAGTTAGATTCATCGTCCTGGAATTTCAGCGCCAACATCCTATCCTGTTTAGTTGTTTTTTAAGAGACCACCTACAATTTTCCCCATATTTGTCGGGCTTATTCGATTTCTAGAATATAATCGGCTTAGAAACAAAATTGTCTCAATCTTATCGACGCAAAAGGATAAGCAAAACAGAGACGAATATGTAGTGAGTACCTACAGAAGTGGGGTCAAGGCCACTCCTTCTGTCCACAAGTTTATCGAGTCAGAGAATCGGAATGTTTCAATAGAACTAAATATTTAAGTTGCTGTCCAAAACCCAAATTAGAGTCTGTTTGCGGTATCTCCTGGGTTGTAGACGACCAACTTGACCAGTTAAAGATCTAACGCCATGGAAAATGGTCATACGGACAGCCTAATTAGCAGTCCACCAGGAAAATAAGTCATCGTTACAAAAATATATACGTACTAAAGTTTGTATCAAATCTCAAGATCAGGAATAAATTCAAAGGGCATATTCAAATTTGAACAGCAGTAACCACCTTGCATTTCGCTTCCAGTAATTCATGTTGTCAATACTTCCGCATATTGAAGTAGCGTGCAACACACAATGTTTCAACGTCTTCATCTTCACTTTCAAACAAAAAAGCACCTAGGGTCGAGGCACCATGATAAGTGCAAATGGTCGCATTTGTCCTCTCGTCCTTACCCAAATGCACTTTGAGCACATAATGTGTGTTATTTCCACTTGAGGGCACATTGAGGACACAGTGCTTTTTATAACAAGGAAAATGTGGAAGAATGTTTACTGTCCAACCAGGCTCACTGCAACCCTATTTGCCAAATTTCACGAAAAGTCTTTCTTAGTGGATAAAATAAGAGTAGCTGTACCACTTCGGCCGACCTTGAAAATTGCAGACAAACTTCCTTTAAAAATTTGCAAATTATGTCGAGAACATCCTAGGTCTTGAGGATAGTTGAGCAAAACTTCTTTGTAAATCTAAATCTTATTTGATTTATTTGCCACGACAGTACTCTCGCTATGCTGGAAGACTTGTTCTGTGCCTTCCGGGCATGCTAAAAGCATAAGAATTTGCAAGTGTTACCAAGAAAAAGAAATATGCGTGATGATAAACATGGTCTGGTAGGAGTTGGGTTCTCAACCGGCAATAAAATGTACAGTTTTCAATTTAGGTTGCCATTGAAAGAAACAAATTTACTACTGTAACACTTAAGTACAAAGTATGAAACGCACTCAGTCCATGGAGGCGATTTGCCCTATGAAGTCACAGAAACGTGCCTCGTGCTTCACTAGCAGTGCGTTTACCTCATTTGCTACCCGCTTTACTCTTAATGCGTTTACTATACTTAAATATATAAGCAACAGATAGTCATTAGACGTGACAGTTGGTCAACTGGACTTGAAGACAGCGTTGCACCATCTTCCACAACCATCAGGCCCACAAAAAAACATTGGGTAACCTAACTTAGTCAAAACTGCACTAATTTTCAAAGCAAGTACATAAAAATTAAAACCCGATTACCTGGTTCGCTCGACAAAAATATTAGATGTTTTTTTCTTGCATACTCTGAGGTCAGTAAGGTGAGGAACGGTCACAACTACAGCTAATGCGATAAAATGAACCTTCCGCTATGATGATTAATTAAGATATTTACATAAATCCTGTCTGTGGGAGAAGAGCTGGAACCTTAAGCAATGATTCACAAAGCCACATTATTCAGGACCGTGTGCCTGTTGTGACTCAAAACACTGGCTCTGAGGCTCTCGTGCACAACCAGCATACACGGGCCAGGGCATTGGTCAACCGCCCTATGAAGGCACAAGCATTGGTTCCCTCTGTGTCTGGCTTTTAGTTCACGCGACGTTGTCACGGTTTGAATGTCAAGTTATGGGGGCCTGCAGCTGTCTTGCGCTTACAATCGACAAACAGATGATTGATGGGTTAAATCGAGACCAAATTGAACAACGTGGAAATATTTACGGATAAAAGAAGGCAGTGTGAAAGCAGTTTTCGCTAAGGCCTTGAGAATAAGACGATAATCAAAGAAATATCATTCATGCCCTAACCTACAGCAGAAGACGGCACTAAGTTATCATCCTTTTTAGAAATTGAATTACTGCAAGTTAAAGGCCCATTAAGAGAAAGTTCACTTGCATGGCGATCGCATGTTTTCCCTGATATCAATCACACTTGTTTCGATAACTAAGGCGTTCACATGCATAAAATTCTTGTTTCAAAATGTAATTATGGGTAATACAATAATTAGCAGTCCAAGTTTGCCCAATATTCCTCTTAAAGATGCCTTTCCTACTTGTCATTTGTAAGCTATCATCAGTGAAAAAGGCATCACTCTTTTGACATCATTTTACAAGATCAATGTCAAGTTGATAGTAATAATTGGATCATTCATTCAGAGAAAAAAAGCATATGAACAATTGCATGACGAAATGTGGTTGCTAAAAGACCTGACAGTCATGAGGACAGCTAGACTCCAAGCTGCAGCTGCATGCATGACAAGCTACAAACTTTCACGTTAGTATTTATCCTTATGATACCATCTAAGATCCTAGTTTTACGGAACAAGTATTAATAAAACACTTCCTGGTAAATTGGGAAAAACTGGAACTCTTAAAATTAGTAGCAGCAATGATGCAACGCTGGCAGCAATACCAAGCTCAAAATCATCGCAAGTCTATGTTTTAGGCACATCGTTCTCGGTTAAAGCTAGATAGTGCCTCTCAAAGCATTCACCTTGGTATCGGGGGTTAGCGATTTAATCTAATTGAGGGGATAGTGATGCACTGCGAGACATTCAAATAATTGCAGTAAATTGGATTAAGTGGCCCGATTTACTAGTGGATCCAAACTCAAAATTATGAATTACTATGGTTCACAATGGCTAACGGCAAATAAGTTATGCAAGGAAGGATTCCAATTCGTCTCTGTCACGCTAAAACTGTGACATGAAGTGATTTGACCACAAATCGGAACTGTTTATAATCTGCATCGATGATCGAGGTGCGATGGAGAATGTAAAGAGGTGAAAGATAATGCTTGATGATGTCAACCTAGGGAACATTTTTCGATTATTGCAGCTATTGTTCTGCTCCGTACAGTATCAGGAAAAAAGCGTAAATCAGCATCACGAATACTTTTTGGGTATCCATATGAAAAATAAGAGTACTACAAAGACTAACAATTTTCACTTTATTATTCCCATTATATTTCATCCGTTTCACCTGATTAGCCCTGACTTACTAGAAGTGTTAATGGTAACATTGAATACCTGACATTGCTTAATTTTCAGCATAGCAAAAGGATCATTGTAGGTCAACTACTATGACTGTAGCGCCAGAGACGTCCCACTAGAGAGAAGAAGGCGTTAAGTTGGGCTAAATACATGCATTCTAAGGAGATAAGAAGAAATTGGAACTTGACCTTGCCCGAAGGCCAGCCCACGCATATAAGAAGACGAATACCAATGTAATTGTCAGATATTAGGTGGTCATATAAGCAAAGTGTTGCAGTGATCATATATGTTTACACCGTTTTCAAGGCTTGCATGTACTAGCTGTGCAGCAGTTTCAACGTGCATCGTCGTTGAAAGCCTGAATGATGGAAAGGAAGTTCAAAAAGCCTAGGAGTCATTTTTTGGTTCCCTATTGCGCAAGTAAATAACTCAATCACCCATGATTAATCTGTGTTTGAAATCTATTCGCAAGTTACCGCTGCTTAAGGTTCGGAACACAATACCGTTTAAGTAGCATTATCATCTTTGCTAGACTTTAGGTGATACCTAGCGTTGGCCCATTCCACCTCATCTTTGCCGAATCTTGGCTAGGTTGAGTTACTCAAGCTTTGACGGAACGGATCATCATCATCAGCTTATTTGGAACGGATTTCTGCAATCTGCCTTTTATAATCATTTCATTAAATGCCGTCAACTTTTCGCAACTAACAAACGGGATAAAATAGGATCTCAATAAAAAAGCCTTAATTTGAAGTAGAATAAAAAATAAATAATTTTGGGTGCAAGACTAATGCATGTGATTGGTCAAAATACAACTGTAAGCATTATACCAATTACAGCATTGGAGCAAATGACTCACAAGTGCTAATCGTGTTTTCAAACACCAAGATCACTAAGGATCGAATTCTACAAGACCGATTTGAAAATCTCTAATTGCAAAAATTATTCCATAACATATTTGAAGTCCTAAACAAGAGCTTTTCTTACCATGTTACAAAAATTGAAATAATCAATTCAGGACAGACAGTCTGTATAAATTACCGCAGAAGTTGTATCAGAATCTGATGACTCCAAGATCAAATCGCATCCGCAGCAGGAATTTTTCTTTCTCTTGACACTTTCCTTAGAACTTAACTCCTTGGGTAACACTGCATCGGTGTTTTGAGCCTCCTCACACTCAGCGTCGTAAAAGACCTCCGTACCACCTCCATCCTCCGATCTCTCAGTCTCTCCCGTCGCAAAATCCTCGGACGAAGGCACATCTTTTGAAACCTCGAAAGGGCGAGTGTAGGAGTGGCGCCGTTGTGATTGTAAGGGTAGGGCAGGGCCATCCAGCTGGCCTGTAATACTCATATCGGTGGGGTCGGAGATGAGATCGATGTGATGTAAGGACACATGATGAAAGGGCTTGAGAACGCCTTGCTGCCGTTGTTGAAAGTAAAAAGCCTTCTTCAGCTGCGGACGTAGACGGCGAAGATGAAAGTGCACAGAATGACGATCCTTAGCCACGCTAGCATAGTGGAGAGCCAACGCTATGTCCGCGTAGACGTCGGTGATCTCGTCGTGCTCATTTGGAGCACGCAGAAGAAATGGACGTAGGTGCCTACAAAACCCACCTTCTAATTACTTTCTCTTAGGCTTCAAAACTCTTAGTGTCGATGGCCCAACAAAACTGAAACATGACTTCAAGCGTGCGTTATGTCACCTATAATTAGTAAAAGAATTGAAATTGAATAAAGTGGGCAAACTTGTACAAAATCTCTATCATTAGTATTTTACTCCAACTCCTCGCAACTAAAGCACTGTGCGATACAAAATGTTGCCTTCATGTTTCAGATAAAGGTTCCTTTACATAAGAATACGATTGTAAATATGTTGTAACTGATCAAGGTTTTAAGAAACACATCTTATCAAAACTGGGTTCCTCCAAATTTAACCACATAAAAGAGAAAAGGTTTAAAATGAGCAGTCAATTTGAAACTCCATCTCATGGATTTTTAGGTTACTTTACTACAGCATACGCTGAAACCAGGTTTCCCTCTATTTCATAGGCTTCAGTTTGTAAGGACAGGGGTGACTTATAGAATTACGTGTATAAAATACCAAACTTGCTGTATAACAAGGAAAATAAGCGACTGATGGATATAAGAAAGACCTTGTTCCTTTTTAGGGCAAGTTTAGTTCGGAGAACCAAAACAACCAAAACGAACCTTTTGTAAAATCTGACCAACGTCGACTGAAGAGTACTGTGCTGATGCCCCACCACATCTGCCACCGCATTACAAGCCGAAAGGATGACTCGATTATTGAGAGTTTCAAAGAGGCTCAGCCGAACAGTCCCTGATGAAAGAAACTTATAGATTCGCAGAAGCGGTGCCATAGTCAGTCCAATAAAGATCACATAGAACAGGTTGATGAAAACCACTGTGCACCTAAGAATCGATAATGGAATGCCCATAGCCTTGGCGGTTTCAGGAGAAACGATTTCAACTAGTGCGTGGGCCACGCTCCCCTTGAATCCACCATAAGAGATGAAGAACATCATTCCGATAGTTATCTTTTGGCGAGTCCAAAAGAAGTAGTTGGTGAGGTATGAGGCCATAAAAGTGAAGACGAAACGCCAGACGATACAAAAAAATGTTGTCCAGGCAATGAACCCTGTTTGCCAAGAAAGGTCGTGGGCTGCTATTGAGAAACCGACGTAAAGGAAGATCAGCGAGTCAGCAATCGCACTAGTCATTTGAGCAAAGTGACGAATTGTAATAACAGATTTGTGAGACACATTGCGAAATGTAAAGGAGGATAGTATTATGCAAAAAAAGATGAGATAAAAGGTGCTTGGCCAAGAGTAAATATAAGTAATGATGTAGCCGGTATAGCAGAGACAAAATACAATTACAGGTTCTAAGGTTGTCTCATGCCTAGTCCACCTTGTAACGATGCTCGACATGAAGCCAAAGAGAAGTCCAACTATGGCAGATATACATAACTGCAAGGAAAATGATAGAATCATCAGCATAAACCATGGCAGTACACCCAACTTTTCGACACAGGTCAAGTGCGAACTCGCCGCATTATTTGTCATTGTAAATAAGCTTAGAGAAACTCCGTCATTGATTAGAGACTCACCAACAAAGATGAGATAAAGAAAAGGATGAACTTTCAGTTTTCCAAGCAGGCCGAATACGATGGCAAGATCTGTCGAACAAATGAGGCTGGAGAACAGGATGAATGCGATAGGCTTAATGGAGTATTCTTGCATTCCCATGGCACCCCATGCGTGCACAGTCCATAGACTCAAAGCAGTGAGAGAAAATGTAAAAAATGACCCTAGAAGTCCAAAAACAATAGTGGACGGGAGAATGCCATTTTTAACTATAGGTTTAAACTCCAATGCCGCATTTATTGCCAGTGGGGGAAATAGTACACCAAAAAAGAAAAATTCATTAAAGAATGTCATCTCGCAGTGCAGAGCTGTTGAAAGATAACCAAAAATCACGCCGAATAAAAGGAGAATAGCAGGTTTCGGCAGAATAATTGAAATATTTTTCCACCTGCCATAAAAAACCTCGGTTGTGCAAAAAACCAATAAAAAAGTAATAGCAAGCAAGAGGATTCGAACATGCTCCCAGTGATCTGAGGACCAAAGGTTTGCTTTTAGAATATGCAATGCATTGCCGTACTGAGAGCCATTCATTTCTCGCAAACAAGTACTAATTTTCGCGCACAAGAGGTAAAACAAACAACCTCAAATATCATGTAAAACTACGACACACACTAATGCAACAAATATTTTGATCAATAAACTTATAATTAAATCACTTTTTAAAATTAAAAATTTAGAAAATAATGATCATTATAGGGTCACTTACGCAGCCACTTCCCATGTGCCTTAAATTATGTTTATACGCGTTTCGGTGAACACAAGCAGATCATTGCATAGTCACAATGCAAGTAGTGATGTTAGTCTAAATTATTTAGACTTTCTTAATTTAGTAGTAACCATGTAAAATAGTTAGTTATTAAACAGATACTTTATTGACCTCTTATGCATTGATTTGAGGCGTGGCTCTAAAGAATAATGCTGGACAGAATTATCAAAACACATCACTATAATGCTTGACGCGAGGCAGTGTAATGCGGTCACTGGGATTTTTCTGGTCCTTGTGCACGTGGGTTGGCCTTCGGACCATTCCCAGACCCAATTTTCGTGTCGTATTCATGTATCCAGCTGCACTTACTGAATTCTTATACCAGTTAGGAAGTCTCGGGAGGCTACAATCGCTTCTAAACATTTTCTGGTCTCTAAAATATCACGTCTTATGTATCATGTAAGCAGTTGTATTGTCTTCCTTCCTTGTGGCGTATTCTTGTATCACGGAATTTTGTACTGGAAATATATTTAATGCCTTGATATTTTGAAGCCAAGCGCGTATCGACTGAACCCTCCTCACTTGATTGTGGAAAGCTTATGTGATCGGGTACATTTCCCTCCCTGCTGCTTAATTCCAATTTCTGTGATTAAATTAGGAGTTGCAATACTTTGTTTATGTGATCAACTGGTGTCAGACAGTTTCTCTAGTATTCATCTTACCCTTGCACGAGTGGGCTGGCCCTCAAGCAAAGGCGAGGCCCAATTCCTTCTTATCCTCTTAGAATGCATGTATTAAGCTCAACTTAATTTCGTCTTCTATCTGATAGTCTTGGAGGTCTACAATTTTATGCTTAAGAGAGTTATTTTGGCGTTATTGTTCAGTTTATCTCTACCGGCATCTGTTGTTAACGTCTCGCAAGTCAAACACGGGAAGTGGGTATTTGGCAAATGCCGACAGTTTTCTTAGCCATTCTGTTATGAAGAAGTTAGGAAATCTCCATTCTGAGGCAGGCGCACTTCATTTACACTGTTGGATTTTGTTACAAACGTTAGTTAAGTAGTTAAGTTTGGTTAACTTTTCGCTACTCCAGCACATCTTATTTGCGATTCGGATGAACGCTTCTATTCGGACAAAAAGGGTAGAGGTGAGACTACGGGCGCCAAAGCAATTATCGCATTCAAAGTTCATCAAAAATGCGAAGTAGTGCAGAAAAAGGTGATACTACTTAAGTCCGTCATGCATAGCGGTGGAGCAGAACATGCAAAAAATTCGCAATTTAGGCGGAAATGTAGACAAACTAGAAAATATCTACCGTAAGATACACCGACGAAGAAAGTCCTCTTCAGACAAATAGAGGTGAAGCGCTCCAAGTAAAATCTGCTATAGTTAAATTTCCGAGTCAAAATGGACGCATCACGGAAATAATTATTGAGATTAATAAGATGTTATTTTGGGGTACTGTTGCAGCCTGTGAGACCTGCCACTAGGTGGAAGACGGCATTAAATTGAGCTAAAGAAACGAATTTCAGGAAAACAAGAAGGGATTGGGCTTCGGCTTAGCCCGAAGGCCAATCCACACGCTCAAAGCCAAGACGAATGTGAGAAGTCATCTCCAGACACCAAGTGAATGCATAAACAAAGCATTACAACTGCACTAGTAGAAGGACTTTTAGATTTGGGTGGGAGGATTTAGGTTGGTCATGTATTTGCGTTTTGCCATTGCAATGTGTTTTATGTCATTTGTTTTTAGTGCAGTCTCGGTCCTGTGGTTCTTCCCTTTCAATTTGTCACTGCTGCTACAGGTGGAAGCACACCTGCCAGCGCAATGACAGGAGGGCAATGCCTTTGGTTTCGTGATCTGCAGGAAAACTGTTAACAAGGGCGGTGACACTAGAAAGGCAACCACCTTAAAGTTTTGTTGCCGATTTTGTCTATTCCACTTCTACACAAATCGTGATAGGTTGAAGTTCCTCACCCCAATCGAGGCCAAAAATATGTGATAAAGCAAGCCTGAAATGCGAACAACAGGACAAGGAAGGAGCAAATGCAGAAGCTTAACTCCATATAGTAGGTGAAAAAAATTTTATGTCCTCCGAATGGGGTGTAATCACTAGGACGGATAGGCCACGATAGGGTCGTAGCTGCTTACCATTAAGCACTGGTTACGGGAGTTTGAGTAAAGGGAGTGCGTAAAACAGTCCCAAAATGAGAAACGATGCTATGCAGTGCCTTGTCCTCGATCTGACATTCAGTTTTAGTAGAGGATAATGAGCAGGTTATTTTGCCTTCGTCTGGTAAGCTGATCTCAAACTCGTGCCTCCAGCCTCGTTCCTCTCCGCGTCGCTGTACAATAAGGAGGCCTCCAGACCCCACGAAGTATGGCAAACTCCATCGTGTAGGCTACCTATTGTGATTTTGACTTTGGTATGCTAAACACGCGCAATAGGTGGGGTCACTTTTGACATTTATGATAATTACCTCCGCCGCCTACCCTTCTAGCATGCAGCACTTCCAGTAAATTCCTCAGCCTTGGTAATTTGCTTCTACTGACTAGTAATATAGTAAGGCGAATTTTTATGCTACTTTGCAAGTTTTGTAAAAGTGTACTCTGTTGTTAAATTTTGGCTGATCTCGTTGCGACAATTGGCGGCTCTTATTTTCGACCCCATCACTTCTGTTCATGAGTAGTGAGTGTTGTTGATCCAGTTTGGCAGCTAAATTGGCGCTCTGCTACTCTGTTAATGACTGTAATGTTCATTCCCGGAGTCGGGGAGGAATTAGGTTGCCAAGACGTTCTAACTCCTTGGCCATTGAAACTTCAAGTCACTATTAATACTCATGGAAGCCCAAAACTTAAAACTTAAACAATTTGGAATGTTCGAATTGAAAGCAAATTTGGTGACTTGCAGCTTAAAAAAGAAGGAACGTACAGTTTCCTAGCAAAGGGACATCACAACACAGCCAGGTTTAAAGGAGGCGAAAACTTTGGCAAAATAAAGAAAAAGTATATACAGTAGTTATGATGATTTTAAGACACAAGTTGACGGGTTTCGTTCTTTTAACCTTTTCCTTTAAATCAATTTTGGCTAGAACCTGCATAATCGTATTTATTAAACTCATGCGGAGAAAGTTTTTGAATAATTAGTACCACCCAAGGATGCCACCCACCTGAAAGCTTCAGTATTTCGGCAGCTTTTGCAATGTCTCTTCCTCTAGTCGACCAGCATTATTCGTGCATTGTTCTGATATTCGGATTATGGATGAAAAAGTAAAGATGGTCACTTCTGGACTTTCGTTATTCCTCACATTACCGCTCCATTTTCCCCACGGCAGAAAATCCTTGACTAAATCGGATACAGAAATGCATCCCATTTTTTAACATTTCGTTAAAAGAGTAGTCTTTAAATGCGTCAAAAATGTTAATCATATCGGATCTATGTAAGGAGGCTATATGTCGAAAAGTGGATTAGTTAACATTTCCTTCTGGTTTTAGCGGATGTGCAAATCCGTTTAATCATTTTTTTTTCGTAAAAACAGATTCACCTGATCCTCGGTTTGATCAAAATTACCGGAATACCTAATGCTTTTGTGCTTTTGTTAGGTTGAATGATTGGGCAGAATATTGGCTCTGGAAAGTGGCACCCTCTTCGCCGTCTGCCTTCGAGATCATTGAACAATCTGATTGGTCAGAGGTGAACTCCTCCTATTGGATAGACACTAGTAAAGCCTATGTGGGCTCAAAAGCCTTTCCCTCTCCAGGGCGTCGTTGGCATTCACGTAATCACAAGCTTGTATGCACCAGTCACTTCGTGATCTACAGTAGACGGCGCACTCAACTAAGGGGGTCTCTGCCATTTGAAGTCTGACAATTTCAACGAATTCGCAAATGGTTCATAAAATGAACCTTAGGCAAACCCAGGATGCCTTAATGTAATCTAAAACTTTACATCGAATTATGAGCTTTGGGAGATGCAGTCCGTCTTCTTCAGCTAATCACTTAAGCACTTAAAGTTAAATTTATGCCATTAAAGCCAATTTAGTCCTTCAGTTCCATGGCCAAAGGCATGGAGATATGGAACACCAGTCCCGAATGCGGAAGTCTCTTTCACAGGCAAGACTCATGATAGTTATAGCAACACACCGCATGATATAAAATCTTCTTGGGAGCTCTTTACTTGGATTAGCGAGTTGAAACGGTAATGGTGGCAATGAAAGTTTGTACATTGGAAAGCATTATGAAGAATAAAATTCAAAATGGTTACTGTTGAGCTCCTTCTTCCAACAACCCTCTCCACATTTAACTCTGCGCAAGTTAATAATTAGGGGAATAACAGATTGGTTCACAAAGATAGTATCATTACCAAGAAAAATGAAGGTAATGAATGCTGATCCCATTTTTAAGACGGCATAAGAAGTCTTGGGATGAGGTAGTACATTTTGGTTACTCTCCCCACTTTGTGTTAATAATCGGTCAAATTATAAAATCATGCAACAGGCGATCGTGTTCTCTTGCACTTATTTTTTGTGATTTTGGTAAAGAACCTGTGGAATGCAAGTCAAATAATAACGACTTAATGCATAACCTGGCACATTTAATCTTGGTCTTAAACTAGGAATTGAGCAATGATTTTCAATTTCGTGCGCATCAACAGGTACTCAATGGAAATCCCTAATCTAAGCGAAAGGGCAGTGAATGGAGTTTGCGCGTATCCGCGACCATCCACCAATAGGGCACAAGTAAGCTCAAACAGGAAACGCGTGCGGGCAGGGGAAAGGGAGGCAAGCAGTACTGGCAGTATCGGCAGTATCTATAGCAGAGGCAGCGGAAATAGAGAGGGGAGGAGGTATTGAGTTCCCCTCTCTCTCTCGCTCTCTGTTCAGCCATTCGTATTTCCTGAAAGACAGGAAGACTAGCGCAAGTGAGTTAGTGCGTGTGTGTATGTGGGCAAAGGGTAAGCAAAATTAATCTCAACCGGACACTGGCTGTCAGCGCTAGCAGCACTAGGTCACTCTACGCTCTGCAAGCTCCACTCTACGCGGTCAGGCCTAATTTCACCCATTTCCTTCCGCAACAGAACAGGCAACCACTGAGACCACTGCTTGAAGTCACAGTATTGTAGTTGCTCCTACTACTACTGCTGCTGTTACTGCTACTACCGGAGCATTATTACTCGACGGATTGCCAGGATCTGCCCGGAAATCCTGTTCCGCTGAGTTGCACACATACACACAGTTGGAGAGAGAGAGAGGGAGTGGGCGCGTAACATCACGAAGATCTTGATCTCTCGTTGCCTGAAATAAATCCCTGTTCGTACACTTCCTTCCGTCCCTTCACAGCAGCCGACATCGAGAGAAATAGCAGAAGAGAGAGCGAGATTGAGAACAGGAAATCCCGTTCCTGCTTCAGCTTGCAAACGACAATCCCATCACAAGCGCGGAACGGAAACCAGCATATACCCACCATGGTGAGAGATTGCGTACTTTGAATTTCATCAAAAGCAGTTAATAATGTGTTCAAATCTTCCTTTCAGGAGGAATCAGGACACTCGAATATCGATGAAGGGCTTGGGTATTCCTCTATGCCTCCCCATAGCACGACCACTGCAGTCGGTAATATTGCGACCACTACTAGCACTGATCAGAGAGGAAAATATTCTTTTCCCACTGGCTCGGAGTATTTTGCATCATCGTCTGAATTCGCTAGTGGAGTGTACCCCTCATCTACCACTTATTCTTCCTCCTCAGATGGGGTGATTTGCTACGAGCAGGATCCTCGTAGTAGCGCCTACTCTAGTCTTATTCGACAACAGAATAACACTACTACTGGAGTCTATTGGGGTGAGACGGATCCCTACCAGAGTAGTGGAGGCTATCACTTTGAGGCGTCGCCTGCATACCATTTTACTGGCTTCGCCTCATATGGTTATTCTGCTTCCTCTGCAGCTGTATCCACCACTAGTTCCACTAGCGCCTACCATCATCAGGGTGTTTGGTCAGGCACGGCTTACCATTATGGAAGAACAGGAGGGACGACGCAGTCTTCAATGTTCTATACTTCCAGATCGAGACGAATGCGACCGCAAGGGGCTGTAGGTAGAATGGAAGGGAATGCTGACGGGGGTGCAGGAACAGGAGAGAGAAACAAGACATATGGATCTTCACCACCGCCACCACCACCCCCACCTCCCACAAACTCGACCAGAGTGTCACAAGGATCACCGACTGTTCAGTGGAGGCCTCAGGGTAAGCTGATTGTCATTTGTGGCCAAAAAAGGCAGTTGATAGATTGAGACAGTAAATTATTTATTTAAATTAACGATTCGATTAGAGTATTACAATTTAAAAGATGCAATAAAACATTGTATGATGGTGGTTTTACAGACACTCCTTATTTCATAATGTAAAACCTTGGCCTTTTCTCATACAAAAAATGATTTGCAATTTAAATATGCTTTTGGATGGATATTATTAGCTATTGGTGTCAGCTTTCGATAAACATGGAGCGTTGTCACCCAAATGAGGCTTATTTTCTCCTTGTCCTCAATCATGAATGAAACCGCAGGCTTTATTCCCACAATTCTGCAGGGGAGCGTGAGAGTTAAACGCGAATTTATTGTAAATGCTGTGGAGGCGTAAAAAGGCCTCTGTCCCGTCAATAACACAGCAGGGCGATAGTAGTGGCCTTACTTTTCCCACAATCGGCCAAACCGTAATATGTGGGCAATTCCCGTTTCCCATCCGCATCCTATCGAGTCATTTCCTGACGCGGTGGCAAACAGAAAGGGGAAAGTTGGGGAGAGGGGAAGGGAGGGTGCAACTGTGATTTACTATTGTTACATTGGGAACCACCCCAGTACCGGGCGTCCGTCTACTACACATGAGGAGGAGGGGAGAGAAGTACACGTGGACATGTGGGTTCCCCTTTACCTCTCCTCAGAGTCCGGAAGCAGGGGAGAGTTTTGATTAAAAAGTCTGCTGGTATTCACTAATTTCCCTCCCGCTCTTCTTTAAATGTGTACACAAAGGGCACCCACAGGAGTAGGCAGACATTCAAAAAACTCCTGGTGCCCGGTTATTCACTTGTTTTGCCTTCCTCTGCATTAGCGACCCTAATGGGCATAGCCTTCACGCAGCAGAAATTTAGGCAATATAGCTGGCAGCCAGACGAACTCAAGCAGAACTAGTCGTAAAACACGAAAAGTTTAGTCGAATGAGTGAATTTGTTAACTAAAGCAATTGAGGTTTGTTTGAGTTGACGATTCGAGATATTTTAGTTCAAGCCAATTTAGCATCACTCTCTCTGTCGACATTAAGACAACCTAAAAGACGGCTCTCATGCACACGGTGAGTGGTTTTGTCTTGCATGAATAGATGGGCTGCGAGTATCTGTAGATATGAATCTTCATTACAGGTTCGGGGCAGATTCAGCTGTGGCAGTTTCTGTTGGAGCTTTTGGCAGATAGTCGCAACCTTGCCTGTATTACTTGGGAGGGCACCAACGGCGAATTCAAGCTGGTCAATCCCGACGATGTGGCTAGACGATGGGGTGAGCGTAAATCGAAGCCTAACATGAACTACGACAAGCTAAGTCGTGCTCTCCGCTACTACTACGATAAGAATATTATGAGCAAGGTGAGCCTTCTCCATTCGATGTCATGAAAACTCAAGGCAGCTTTTCTGATCACATAACAATGTTTCCAATTGTTTAATGCTTTAACATATTATGAAACCTTGTGGACAACTGATAAGACTGTTACCAACCAAACAAGTAAGCAATACTTCAAGGTGTTTTGACGCAAAGTGGACTTGGCGCGACACTTTACGGACATGTCTATACAAAGGCGGCGAACAGAAAATTAACCTGGACTTTACGAAAGTCGTTAATTTTTTAGATATGCCATTGAATAAACCATGTCAATGGATCTTACTTGCTGTGTGATTGTATACACAAATCCTAGGCTTTAATGCTCCGATGCGTAGTTGCACCTCATCCTCCTCTTTGTTGATATGTTTTTCCATGGCTTCTATGCAGTTGTACGTACGACGACGTCGCTCTAATACAATCGTCACATGCAAGTCATCACTAATATTTATGGCTCTTGATTTATTTATTTTAATTTTCCATCTGGTTAAAACTACTCAAAATTTTCGCCAGTTTTTTCGATGGTTCCAGCCCTGTTGATTGAAAATGAAAGAATTATATTGCCTGATTGTAATTTATTATTTATGTCAAGCCTAGAGAGATTTAAGATACAAAATTAGTAGAATGCTGCTTTGCACTTACTTGAAGTCAATATTAGGCATACAAGCAATGCCATGTAAAAAGAGGGAGAGGCACTGTCAGGACGCTCATTGGTTAATAAAAGCGCACTACCTGCCCTTCATTCAACGCTAATTGGTTAGTTGACCGGAAAAAGCGAGCATTAAGTTAATCACCTGCAAAGATAATTGGTTAATATTTGGTTTTTAATTCGCCCAAAAGCGGTTAAAAGAGAAGGGTTCGGAGCCAAAGTAATGTGATCATATTTGCATTTAATGCCCACACTTAACTACTTCCTTTTCTATTGAATGGCTTGGATGATTAAAATACCGAGGACATCAAAACATGATTAGCCTAAATTGAGAGGTTTCTCACGAAACCAAAAACATTTTTAGGTAGTTTCTATCCATGCGAACGAAGATGCAGTGCTTCGCTTGCAAAGTAATTTGATAAATCTCATAAACCAGCTCTTGAGGAGCAGTAAGTGAACAACTGAACTTCCTTTTAACGTTTCACTGTCAATTACTCTCCCTGCCCTCAACCCCACCCTTGGCTTATGCCTTGCCTTAGTGGTCAAAAAAATACTACCAAATAGTTACTCCATCCATCCATCCCTTCCCTCAGGTTCATGGAAAGCGGTACGCCTATAAGTTCGATTTCACCGGCTTGGCTCAAGCCATGCAACCCTCCACGTGTGATGCTACCACTGCGGCCGCTTCTGCTGCTTCTGCCGTCTCCCTCGGCCTCTCTACCTTTAGAAACACTGAAACCTCTCTCTGTTTCCCTCGTGAGTCCACGACAAATGACGAGCACCAACGCCAACAGCAGCAGCCGCAACAAAGGAAGAACAACTCCAAACGCCCTCACGAACCCTCTCCACCCCCACCTTCACTCCAAACTGTCCGGGATTTTGAGGACTGCGGAGCTAAGCACCATCATCAGCATTCAACCACCACAGGCTATCCTACGTCACAGCAGTTTCTCGCTGCAAGAGCAGCAGCCGCTGCAGCTGCCTGCTTCTTCCCAGAGGTGCATCACAATCACAACCATCAACAGCACCACGCTGGGGGAGGGTCGGTGTCAGCGACCTGCTACGAGGGAGCAGAAGCCTACCTGGCTCAACCGCATGGAAGCTATACCAACGCTTCCCCAGCTTCCTCGTCTGGCGGCGCTTCGTCATCCTACCAGACCAACCCCTTTGTTATGACAACAGTGGGGTATAATGTGGAGAGTCTGACCAATAGCGCTGTGGGGCAAGCACCTAAGTGAATGGCCGGTAGATGGACAGTCTTCTCTTTCTCCTTTTTTATTTATCACTCCGGGAAAGGGTAATAAAAAAATGTGAATGTGTTTGTGGTCAACGTACTTTAGAGCATGAGGGAGAAGCAAAGGATACCGCAAACCCAAAGCCCTAAAATATCAAGATTGCAGTCAACCATCAACATAAAATCACTCACATTTGCCCCTTCAATCAAACACTAAAGAGAAAACCATTTAAGTCACGCCATCCAAGGGACCTCACCAAAGCTCCCAATCAGCAGAGGCTCTAATAGAGCACAAGCTTATTTGGCCTGTACAGCGAAGCTTTAAAGACCACAAAGGCTCTTGTTTTGTGCTTAGAGTAACTGAGATCTTATCATGACTTCAACAGAATCAGCGGTTATGCCATCTTGTCCACCTTTCGATCACATGTTCAGCAGCTTCATATTAACAAGCAAGTTGATACTAAATTGTCAGCAATTTCAGAGTCCATTGTGTTCTGAGAAAGAGGGAAGCCGCAGTGCTCCCCTATCTGGAAGACGTTATTACCTAATCAGATCTGCCGAAAAGGGAGGCAAAGAGAGTGAGATGACAGCTTCGCTGATAGCAACTTTACAACACAATTAATTCCCACCACTTGCGTTATCTTCCAATATTAACCATTGTGAATAAAACCGTCTTAACAGAAGAGAACAGAAAGAGGAGATTTATGCTGACATTGCGTATCAGGATAGTAGTCTAAGTGTGCACACAACAAGCGTCCTTCTGAACTAATAACAGTCATGCCGTCGACAATTACAATTCCAGACATTTCAAAATTAACCCACAGTATTTGCAAAAGGTGTCGCATTACAGCAGAGGTCTTGCTGATATTATGAAAAACAATACATGTCATGTAGAAAGTAGAACGTTAATGAACGAATTGCTCAAACGTCATTGAACCAAAGTGTATCGATAAGTTCCAATACGTGGCAGTAGAAGGTCGGCGACACTGAAAAAATTAAGCAAACCGATTGGATGATGAAAATAAAAAGTAATATTTGCCTTAGTAAATTTGGTCATAACCAAAATCAATGCCGAACACTTGGTTGTACTCCAACCGGGAGAAAAACCTATTTTAGGAGCCTTATCCAACTACCACTCAAAAGCCTAACAATGAAATATCATAAGGAAGGCAAATAGATGGGCAGAATGCCTCAAAGACACTAACCGCCACTCGAGTTGATGCATTCATAGACGAGACGTTTTTCGATTTGCATTGGTTCCACTGCGGACATCCGCATTATCCATAAGTCCGGAGTGAAGCTAATAGTTGTCACAAGTGGAAAAAAGAGATCAAGAGGCTATCCGCATTAGCAACCATGACTCCTAATTACTTCCCTCACTGTTACCACCATAATGCTTTAACTCACTCGTCTTCCGTCAGGTAATTTGACATTTCCTCATTGAATGAGATTATACTACTCACACTGGCGAATAAGTAGCATTGGAATTGTATTGGCTATTGGTCGGAACTATTTGTAATTTACCAAAAATAACTAACCAAGCTAAGAACTTTGGTTATGTTTACGAAAAACTGCCGTGAGAGGGAGAGGAAAGGCGCCTGGTGAACTCAGAGTCTAGCGCCAAACTGACGTATACGTCCGGTGGTCAAGGCATAAAAGACAGGGGAAGACAACTCACTCGGCTAGGTGCGCGGTGAGGTTTTTAAGAGGAGTGGTACAGGTGTGAGTAAATACTTCGTCTTTCTCCAGCTCCTCCATTTTCATGAAAGTGATGAAATCACCCTCCGAGGACTTGACATCAAAAAGCAATGGTCTAAAGAACAGAAAAACCCTAGCCAAATGAAATTGATAAACCCACCCGCTGGTCTTAGAGAGATAGGATAAAAAACAGCATTCGTACAACTTCCTCATCACCATTATTCCAAGTTAAGGTGCTAGTTAGTAGAAAACATGTTAACTGCCCAATGTGACCATCGTTATTTGGAGGGTACACTGCAATGATAATTGAAAACCAAGGTAAACAAAGCAGGCATAACTGCATAACGCGTGTTTGATTGCTGGTGTGAAGATAGATGTATAGTTGGAGAAATAGATGCGGAGTATGAAATGTATGGATAAACAAAGGATCAATCTTACTCGATCTCCTTTTCAACAAAAGCATTCTGGGCAACGGTGGCAAGGGCGACAGCCAGAGAGGAAACGCGATAGAGGTGATGCAGTAGATGCAGACGCATCTCAAAGCTTGTCTCCTTTGTCAGGTTGGCCGATGCAAAGCTACGTTCCAGAGTTGGTGATACTGTTGGAAGATGGAAAAGCGTGCAGAAATACACTTTTGGGACAACGTCCATTCAAGGACCTAATTTGGTTACTGGTCGAAGGAGGGGTTGCGCAGACCAATGCAGGCGAGCTCCCATACGAAGATGCAAAAAAATTACATCCAAAAAATAACAACGGAGCTATATAGTATAAGGATAAGCATTTTACGAGACCAGTAAAATGAAAACCAGACATGAAAATCAGCCCTACACTACTAAGCTGTAATTAGCCGACCCCAACCAGTATGCTGAAGCCAAGGCAAAAAACAGAGAATGTTATTAAAAAAAAAATTGCCGACCACGTTTCACCTAAATGGCTCAAGAGACGACGTTGAGAAGAGGAAAGAGGCGAGAGCTATGATTAGAAACGACAAGAAATTACCAAGAAGCACGATGAAAAGGGCTTATCGGAATAAGATTGTCCACAGTAGTACCTAATCCTCGGGATCGCAAAAAACCAATGAAGGAAACGACATTTTTCCAAGTGCTCAAACAAAATCCAATACAGACCACCGTCTGGGCGCCACATTCATCCTACCAATTGATAGAAGAGATGTAAAAGCAAGCGCGAGCGACAGAGCCAGGGTCCGAAGAACATTTATGGCAGCGCTGACATAAGCAGACTACGATTTACTACCCACTTAAATCAATTCAGTAAGCAAAAACATGAAGGGATACCATTGCGAATAACAGCGAGACAGTCGTTGGTGACCTTGAAGACGCCTGCTTCAATAAGCATTCGCAGACCAAGGACCTCAAAATCTCCCAGCGTTTCTCGTCTCCCCGCAATCGCGTTAGAGCGTGCTAGCATCGCGAACCTCGTGAAGTCCGACACATTCAACTATAGAGGGGGAAACGCGATATGGCGATTGACAGCAGCAAATTTTGCACAAGCATGCTGTGAATTTAAAGATATGCTAATATAGGCCACATTAACAAAACAAACTAACTCTTCCTAGATATACACACTCACAGAAAGGAGATCCACCTTCTCTTGAAGATGTCGCAGAGCGAACAAGAAGCCCTCACGAGCTGTTCGACGGTCAGGAGCATCTTTCAATGCCTCCCACATCCGCTCTGTGGAGCTTAACTCCCTGATTATATGCTGACCTAACGGCATGACTATTTGCTGCTGGGCTAGACCAACAGAGAGTGAGAAATACTTTATGAATGAGCGAAATCAGTCTGGTAAGTAATGTTAGCAGCATTACATTTGCTCAGATGACTGGTGATTGATTGTTCCAATGCAGATGCAGACGAAGATGAGGGTACCATATTTCCCAGAGGACTCCAAGTATCTTCATTCTGATAGGCCAAGGAGAGACGTTTGATGCGATCCATATCAGTCTTGATAGACGCTAGAGGGGAGCGAGCGGTGGAATATGGCGAAACTTGTGTCGTCTGCGTCGAGGAACAAAGCAAGAAGTATGTTAGCGTTTAGACTAAAAGTCTTGTATTCCATTATGGAATAAGTCGCTTGTCATTTTTCGATTGGGGTATCAGCGGTGTGGCATCAGATTACAGCCACTAAACTATAGCATTATAATTCACTAACGATTTTGTTTGTTACTACTTGAAGTAACTAGGATAGCAAAGTCCCAAATGCATTAGAACCAACTTTTCCTTGGACAAGCAATGTAAACAATACCAGATGAGCGAGAGTGGTACTGCCGGGATATGAGAGTAAGGCCCCAGTGGGTTCACTGAAGTTGACATGGAGGAGAGTGAAAGGAAGGATGTAATCTGCCTCATAGGAGGTCCTGACTTCGCGGGAAAAGGGCATGAAACGCGCCTCTAGCTGCCCAAGCTTCAGTTTCATGTCCGGATCTGATGGGGATCAAAAGGATGGCGTCATATCATTAATGAAGAAAATAGAACTTTAGATTGGGAATCCACACCGAAATCATACGTTACTACGGATTTCAAGACAAGTCAATTTTGCAGAGTTAATCTAGTCGCCTGATACGTGAAAATGGCTATCATTAGTGAAGATATCCTTAAATACCTAAGTTTCCATTTACAATGTGAAATCAAGATTTACTTTGAATGGTGAAGACACGAAGAACACGACGGATTTTAGCAGAGGCACCCGGAAGCAGAGCTACCAGCTGAGTTGCGTCATTCGCTGCTCCGCTGACTTGAAAGAGGACTCCCTCACCGAAGACCGAAAATGCCTTTCTGGAAAAGCAACAGACAAGCATAAAATTACCAAACGATTTTAAAAAATAAATTTCTCTGCCTAAACAGAAGACACAAAGTTTACAGCTACCCAAATACGCGAAACGAATTTACGTGAGACCCATACCTCGATGATGGTTTAATTTAGTAGAAATTTACGAATGTTGACACCTTCAATCGCCTTTACTTTATCACAAAGTTTAGTCGCCAAAACTGAAAGTTGTGAAACTAATTAGATTCAACTCAGTTAGCCTTAGTAACAAAGAGGCCTTGGAACACCCTAGCGCCGACGAAGCTGAGGCCGAATTAATTCAGATGTCATTCAGAGGTACTTGAGACACTACTAAAAATTGCATGGATTGTAGCACCTATCAAGGAAAGCCAGATTAGATATTAGGAATTAAGCCCTTAGCTTAGCCTGATGACATGAAAGTATACAGCAATGAAGATCTGTGTCGTAATGGGCATGAAGCAATGCCAACATCCCAAAATGTAATTGTGGACAATAATTTAATAACAACGCTAGACCATATTAAGCCTTGCGAATAAAAGTATGGAAAAATATTTAAACTTAGAGGTAAAATCCGTGGAACGGCTATGCGCACAACGACCACATCTTCAGAGAAGTGAAAGGAACCATAGATCTTGCCTCCTGTTATAGATTAAAACCACTTTAAGATGGAATCAGGCAGATAAACTAGTTATGCAACACGGCTTCGATGTGCATGGAAGGTACGGCTGAACGCACGGAAGTTCGTCAGGCCTGAGTGACTTGTACTGAGAGTAATTGAAGAAACGAGAAGACGATGCCAACCGAGGCGCGTTTAGTTGTCGATCAATCATTGAGAGATTGCAGATTTCATCCAGAGTCAGCGGGTTGCCTCCAAATTGAAGAGTCGACGACAGAGAGTCATCGGCGACTGGGTGTGAAGTGTTAGTAAGGTCGCGTAGATGTCTATACTGCGATCTAACTACCTGCTGCAATTAGAATGATAAAAGCGCAATCAAACAGGACGAAATCGAGCACAGAAAATCACTAGGAGACAAATTTTCAAAATATAAAAGGATAAGTAAGAATAAAAAGAAACTAATTGTTGTAGCATACAGTCGATTCTGAAACTAGGTGTTCCTCCAAGTATTGCGCCGAAACGCTGATACCAAGCTGGAGTTCGATGAGCTTCAGCATTGCGTTAAGGCGTAAGCAATAACGTTCAGACGTACTAGCACTCCGGCTGCATAGATAAACGATGAGAAGGTAAGTGAGACTAGATCTGCGCCAAGCCAATGGCAAATATGCTTGCACGAAAACAAGCAGAATGATAAACCAGAAAGGGTAGATGACAAAAAGACGAAATTAGGAATCACATCATTTGACCTTTTCTAATGCAGCCATAATATAAAAAAGTGTCAGGCATTTTAAAACGACGTGTTTGGGGACGGAGCCGAGCATTTTTGATTCTAAGATAAAAATACCATCACAATGCTGTTAGATTCCTAGCATAAAACCGTCGCAACAGTGATGATATGGAAACACAAGTGGTGCAAAACCAAGAATTCAACTGTAAGTTGCGCCAAATTTGCACACAGATGGAAAACGATCCTCACAAACGTTTTCAGCTTAACGTAACACAAGCGTAAATCATTGCACCGTCCCAACAGACCTGCTTGCACAAGTAACAACTGTAACTTGCATGTTGAAAGCATACTTTTTTGATTGATTTTGTATCAGTTGTTAATTTTATGACAAAAATTCCACGAAAATGTTAGCAAATTTTTAGCCATTGAAAGGCACTCAATTTAAGTTTTGCATACTGCGACTAACAGCAAACACATTTTAAAATCTCAATTGTCTTTGTTTAGGCCCAAGCGATTATAAGAACACTTTCCTACCTAGAAATTACGGTAGAATAAATTACGATTACTGGTTTTTTTAGTTTGAAATGCAATTTACGAGTAACAGCACTTCCACACACTACTTTAGTTGCGGGTCTTTGAAACTGCTTTGGGTGAAGGGTGTTTGGTATGTCCATTTAATTTGGTTTTCTGTGCAGTTGAAATGGTTAATGTACACTTTAGTACATTCACCTATATTATTAATATCACTTTTGGCTCTCGCTTTCTGTCGGCATGTTGTACTTCTGCTCTTTGTTATCTACACTCATATTGGTGTGATTTTTGATTGTATGTGGCGATTTAAGTTATATGGATCATTTGCCGTACTTAATTTCCGTATATGGGGTTCCGATATTGTATGCTTTTTCTGATATTACGTAGTTTAATTAGCACTGATGTTATGAACTTAACAATCATCTAACACAGGACATACCATGTAGGATCGGCTGGCAAATTACTCATAGTAGCACACTCTACTTATTGTTCCCTTTACTGCACGTAACCTTGACTTTCATTATTTATGGTTTCTAGACCTTGCCAATAATGGTGAAATTATACGTGCTTTTGATTTTCCAATCATGATTAAACCGGGGTTCTTGGAACTTTCGTCATCGAATCCTTCTGTATCTACTGACTATTGTGTAAACTACACCAACACTCTAAACATTTCGAACGAGCATCACCATCAGGCCATGATTAACTTTCATGGTATCGATCAAAAGCCATACATCGACAAAGTGATCGACAATCCGTCCCCTTCTTTTCACTCCAACCCAAAGCCTGAAAATGATATTAATACACTTTTTCATTCAAGTAGTGTTGTCAGTGCCACTGAACGTGTTGGTGATGTGCCAGCCAGCTTTTTAAATGGCCCCTCTACCTCGGAAAACAATGCAACTTCACCCTCTGGCCTAGTCACTCCCCCCATCCTCTCAGGCAACAACGATAATCAACGAAATCTTCCGGAAAACGTTGGTGTAATAATTGCCTCTCGCCTTAAAGTTGAAGACCGGATCGATGGATGCATGATTACACCTGAGTCATCACTGAGCCCATCTGTCACAAACGGTGACAAACATCCTCCACCTGAATTCCCTCCTCAATTCGGTCTTCCACAACTTCCCCCACCGATCTCTCCCAAGTGTGAGGATCTGCCCAAGTCACCCAACTCGCTTCACAAGGAACTTTCGACCCCTACACCTATCACTTCCCTCCATCCTCGCAACTCACCGGAAAAGTCTCTAGATCATGACACTCCCTCCACTGTCTCTCCTCCTGCCTCCCTTCCTATTCTTCCACCTCCCGCCACTTCAACAAAACGTGAACCTGAATCCACCTCTGCTTCTCCGATTTGTGACGATGCAGAATACGCAGCCGCAGCAAGAGCTGCTGTCGACAGTGTCGTCTGTGCTCTGGTGGGTAACAAGGCACCTTGCGCTACTGCTGCCTATGATCCTGCTTTAGCAGGCACCGGTACTGATCGGTTGTACTCGCTAAGCCTTGCGCCTGTAGGAAAAACCGATCCGGTGGCTGCAGCCACTGCTACAAGCACATCCACTGCCGTTGCTGTTACTACTGCTACTGCCGCAGCGGTCTCTGTGTGTTCCCACTCCCCCCTCCTCGCCTCTGCAGCAAGGGCTTCTGCTGAGGGCTTGATTTCTCTCACCTGTCCTACATGTGGTGCTGTGGTTTCCATCAAGCAGTTGCTGGCAAGACATCGCAACCCTGGTGAAGCGAAACATGTCTGTGACACCTGTGGCAAGTCATTTGTGAGAGAAGATAAACTGAAACGGCACATCATGTCGATACACACGATGGAGAAGCCGCATGTCTGCCAAATTTGCACGAAGGCGTTCTCTAGAAAGTAAGTTTACTACTAACTTAATTAGAAAGTCTTGGAAAGCTTGAGAACCAAATTCGTAGTCCCGAATATCTATGTCGATGCCTTCGGCGTTAATTTTGCTAGACTTCTAGCACAAGTTGTGGGCCGTAGGGAAGCTGTTTTGCAGCTTTATTACTAAGCTGTAAATTGTGTATTACCAGATCGAAGTGCTCTTCTATGCTCACTATCGTTAATCAAGGACCTAGTTTGCTGGCCCGATCCATTGCCCGAAATTTGCGATATAGAATACCATTTAAGTTTATAAAGGAAAATCTTCATTTGTGCGTTTTATTTAACATGTGAATTTGATGAGGCGGCTTTTTGTCCGCTTCTGTGTCCATCGCAACGTCTCAAAACATTGTGTGCGTTGGGTCCTGGTACTGTTACCGGCTAACGTATTTTTACTTAAAATATCAAAAATTCCTTTCAAACTTCGAGAATGTACGTAAGGTGTCAGCGAATTTCTTTCCTTTATTTGATTGTGATTTTGTAACCTGAGCTGGATTTGAATGCTTTACTTCACAGACGTGAACCGATGACCTTCCTCCGTTCCGTTGTGGCTAGACTCAGTTCAAAAGAGTTCCCGGTTCTGGACTGAATTATCATTAGGTTTGTGCTTAGAGCCGCAATCGGCCCTCATTGTTTTTGTCTTCGACTTCAAGGCACTTTTTATGGCTTCCATCCCTTTTCGTAGATGTCTTGACGATTCTACCGCTGCACATTAGACGCAGGCATTTTCTCCTTATATTTACCCTATCACTCCTACCTTGCCTTTTAGGAAACTAGCTAGCTATCACCTTGTTGTTGCGCTAGTTTCTACTTTTGCCCACCACATCAAAATAACTATCACAAATTTGTCTGGAATAGGATGTTCATTTGGCTTTTTATGGTTATTATGAAATGTGTCCAGGTTTAGCGTCATGATAGAAGCCAGTCTAGGTATTCTATTTCTGAGTACTAGACGCGTTTCACGACTTTCCTTCTGCCTCTGTGGCCATTTAGACTAACGTTTGGCGACACTAGTACTGACTCTAAGCAGGTTCATTTAAATTGCTTTAGATTTACGAATTACTTACTATTCTCATGAATACGTGTTTTTGTGGCTTGCATTTGCCCTTTCGCCAGGGACTGCCCCGATGCCGATGATGGAAAGGGGGGATGAGTGGTCATGCTTGCTTCCCATTAATTATTATTCACCTGCCTTTGACGAAGCGAGTAGCGTTGATTGCTACCTTTCAGGTGGAAAGTTATGCTCGAATTTGTCATTCCTTAGTGACATTTTTCATCATTTGGACTGTTTTGCAGACTCCGCTGTTTTACTTGAGCTATTCTCTTGCTCAACCTTTAGGTGGTCAATTTTTCCATCATTTCATTATTTTGGTCATTGGGTGTTAAGTATCCATCTTTGGAGCAGTTTTTTACTGTTCCTTATCATCCATGAGAAATGTTTCAAAATATTGCGTGGAACTTGAGGAAAAACCTAGTTTAGCATCTGCTATCAACATAATTCGCCTTGGTTGAGATAAACAGACATTCCAACCCGACACCATGAGCCGTTGTTTGCTGAGAATACACCTGTTTTTAGTTTGGTCAGGCGATTCATTGCTCTGGTTAAGGGGAGTCGAGGTGGAGCTGGACAATGCGATGGCTTTCTTTAACGTCGACACCTGTTTTCACAATCGTATTCAGCCATAGTTCTCTCATGCATCCATTTCTCTGCATTTGTTTATCGAGATGAAGAGAAATAACCCCCCCTCAACAGGTCTTGCTCGCGCGCAATCCACAGCCTAGCAAGTGTACCCCGAGGACGGCCGATTTACCTCACGCATGCATCCACACGTACGCACAATCAGGCGCATTTTGACGCTGCTATCTCCATTTTGGCTGTAGCGGTAGTGGCAGAGGAGGCAGCATTTGCATTAGCAGAACTAGCAGCAGCACCAACAGACCTAGTCTCTTCCCCTTCCCACCCTTTTGCCTCCTCCGTAGAAAAAGCAAAGTCATGCCTTCCCTGCCTTACACGCCCACATAGGATGGCGTACGTGTGCGCGTGCGTCGTGGGTGCGCGTTTGCCTGCTAGCTTAGCACCTGATTGGTTCCCGTCACCCCTTTCGTCATTGATGCACGCGTGGGCGTGGGTGCGTGTCTGGTGGTGGTTCGTGGCTTCCCTTTGCCTGCCTGCCTGCCTTTCTCTGGCTCTACCTCTCCCCGCCCGTATGGCGTGTCCAAATGGGCTTTAAACCGCCTCTATCCCGCGTCTGATCTGACGCTCTCATGATTCTGTCGAATGAGGCGAGTACCTAAGGGTTGAGTGACACCCAACCCACTTCAAGTACTCCCTCGATGCGTACCCTTCTCATCTCCCTTCTCTTTTGAGTTGGTATGCAACATTTATGCGGGAAAATCCGCAGTAATGGTCGGGTTATTCTATACTTTGTGGCCATAAGGGGGTAATTTATAGCTCCTTAATCTTGAATCATGTTACTTATCCTCGATAAATCTAACTCACTCTTCATCGAAGTCGAAATCATTATCAATTTTGGTTAATTTTTAAACCTTAAATTGTGTTCTAAGATGCATTTGGACACTTGTATGAAGCCTTTTTGTACAAACCTACCCAATTATACAGTCCTGAGGGGCTATAATTGCCAAATGCAGTTAGCTTATTTCCGTGCCTATTTGCGCAACTTGACACACTGGCAAGCGGACAGCAATCAAATACGTTGGGAATTGACGCCTCAAAGTAGCAAATAGAGGCCCTATCAAGTGATTAGGATTCCAACAGGTGTTGTAAGCTGAAATGATTGAGAGGAAACGGTGAACTGTATAAATCAATTGGTGTGTAGGCCGATAAATGGATAGATTGACGATCGCGCGAACGAACGATTGGACAGAAGGTTGAAGTAATCAGGTTGGTGGCGTTGGAATAAAGAGCTGTGTGGACGAATGGAAGGGGGATCAGTAATTGCACAATCGTTTTCAGGGACAAACTGAAAGATCACCTTCGTCACCACGACAGAGCAGCGCGAACCTTCGAATGCGCTCAATGTCTCTCTCCCTTCGTCCAGAAGTCCGATCTTAATCGACACGTCCGTGGCGTACATCAGGGTGAACCTGGTGTTGGCATCAACATGACGGTGCGTCGTCGAGTGCCTGGTGAGCTACTGGTAATTTGTAAACACCGAACTGCTGCCTATTTGACTGCCTATTGTTAATTTGAACCACTTTAGCCTCATCTCCTACTACTCGACCTTCGAAAAAGAAGAAATCGTCTTCAGTTTCAACCACATTGACTTCCACCTCCACTGTTTCTCAGACCGCCACAACAGTCTCGTCTGCGATTTCCACCCCAACATCAGAAGCAGCACTCACGTTAAGGTTGTTCGGTGGTGGCTGTTCGGGTGTCGGCACGACATCTGCCACAACGGTGACAACAGCAACGACACCAGCGGTGCAATCAATGCAAACTTTACAACAACAGGTTCAACAGCAGCAACAAACTTATCCTCAACACCAATTGTTAGCAGCAGCCAGTATGGTGTTGCCTTATTATCCCACACCCGCTGGTCACCACCAGTTCGTAGCCGCTGCGCTTTCAGCACAAAAGACCGCGGCCGAGCAGCAGCAACAACAACTACAACAACAGCATCACTCATTCCAACAAACTCAGCAACTTCAGTCATCAGCACCCTCGATGATGCTGCTCACAAGAATTGCCGCACATGCCTCTAATCAAGCAGCGCCAGCTCTTGCCGTAGTGCCTCCTACAAGTGCTGTTACGGTAGGCCCCCATATCCATCCAGCATTCGGTTTTTCTTCATTTCTAATATCCATTCTGCACTTCCAACAAAACAAGGGTTGTCGTTTTCTTTTGCTTTGTTTTAATTTACTACTCGACGGTAGTTTTATTAGTAAAACGCATTTGGATTGGGAAGAGACAAGGAATTGAGGGGTCTAACGTACCAAAAAACATTAAAAACCAACGGTTTTCTGGTTCCTCTTCTTTCAAGCGTCTTCTTCTTTGTCTTCCATGGCTGTTCTTCCACTTTGAGCATCACACACACGTGTGTCAAAACTACCTGCAAAACAGAGCTAAAGCTTATGGACGTATTCCCCATTAGCTTGTACTCTGCTTCAGCGCTATTCTTCCTTTTCGCTGAATTGATGCTCTTCGGTGGATCTGCATTGCGATTCCCTCATTTTTTGGGAGATGCTGCTTTGGGATTTTGATTCTGTCTCGCTGTTTCCTGTTTTCAGTTTCTTGTGGTGTAGAGAGGCTCTCGATCCCTGTTACGATGTTGGTGCCTTAGTACATTTGAAGACGTTCGGTATTTAACCAATGTTTTACAACGAATACTCTGTTAGTTTGTCTTTGAGTTGTAATATGCATTCACCTCAGATAACTGCCTTCTCTATCATCTCCTACGACTCGCCTAACCAGATTGAACTAGTCGTTTTGGAGCGTAACCCAGTGTCCTTCGAATTTACCTCCAAGCTATCCTTTTTTTCTGAAAATTTTTACTTCTTTACCTTGGTGGAGGCAAGAGTTAACGTTGATTTGATAGGTCTTTCGTGGTTTAAAGCATCAACGTCGAGTAGGCTCCTTTTGTGGTCTCTTGCGTGTGTACTGGCCAGTTGGTGTGTTGGATCGTAAATCCTCTTTTTTAAGACAACAAAACTTGTCACATTTTTACAGAGGGGTAATGCGTGTTGGGCATATAATCCTCTTCTGTCCGAGTTATGAGCTGTAAGTGATCTGGTGGAGCTTTGCTTCATCCATTTCGTTGGCCTGAGAATATTCGTGTGTTGACGCACTCTGTTACCATTCCATTTTGTCCCAAGACTTCCTCCTCCTTAATTCTTTTTTCTTTTGCTTCGGTCGTTCTCATGGAGATGTCGAGACATAGTAAAACAACAACTTAATTTTTTTAACTATGCGTTCTAGGAGCGGACAATCTTGTCTCATTTGATGGCAAGTCTACTGGTCCACACATTTGCGACTCTTGTATAATACAATCCATGTTATAAACTAAAGTAAGGCTGGTATTGTTGTGTGGGAAAAACAAGTTGGTGAATTTCCGTGTGTACTCCATGATTGCACACTTCCTTCTACTCAAACAGACACCTCTTCACCTTCATAACTGATGCACGCACATCTGCTCTCACTTTCCGCACACCTCAGAGCTCAAATTCCTTTCTCTCTCTCTCTTTGTTTAAACACAGCAGTGTATGCCCATCTGGCATTATTTACCGCCCTACACCCAGCATTTCGCCTATGGTAGTGGTGCTGTCCCTCTTTTTTTTCCTCCACCATGACTGCGCGTCGCTTACTGTTACCGCCTTGTGACCACGTGCGTGCGTTGGTGCGTGCTTCGTGAGGGTAGACCACATCACGCAAAAGTTTGCCTCCTCCTCCTCCTCCTCCTCCTCCTCTGTCTCTTATCGAGTCAGTCGTGTTCAAGAGGGAGGCCAGGTTTTCATCCAACTACTTAACACTGGCGTTTTTTTAAGAATTTCATTCAATCACCTTCACAGCACCTGAACCATTTCTGAGGCTGTTGCGAGGCGTGGAAGGCTGAAACCTGCTCCACCATCGCCTAGCAGCATTGATGATATGGACATCCGTATGTTCAAAGGTTTAAGTAGTGCTACCAGAAAGGCTGTTTTTGGAACCAAAGGCGTGGATGGCACAAATTTGCCTCTGTGCCTCCGAAATGAGGGTTTAAAGTGGCCTTGGAGGCCTGGCACATCTCTTTGCTCCTTAGCAAAATACGCTAAAGGCCTCAGAATGAATCCATGTGAAATGAGGAGGAGACGGTCTCGTTGGTTTGTGCCTTCGGTTTTATTGTTTTCTAGAGTCCCCTGTGTCCTCTTTCCACTTACCGAGACTGTAGCTGAGCAGCTAGTAAACAACAGTTCTTCCACAGCTTTGTTTCTTTGTAATGTGCGAAATGAGCTACCTCCGCGGTTGTTGTATGCTGAAAATGCCCGAAAGGATGGCGGTGCTTCATGTAATCCCCTGGCCATGGAAATGTTGCGAATCCAAAAGGCTCACATGACAAAGTGGACTGAAGGCGTGTTAGTCTCACACACTGATAACATCTTAAATAATTTGAAAGTCAGTCTTTTAACCGATTGAACAGTTGTCTAGACCACGAATTTCATTCGTCAGTAATCCTAAATGTTATTTAAATTTCAGGCGTTTCAGAGCAGTTGCAGCTCAATTGACTCTCGTCTGTGCTGTGGATTTGAAAAGATTTTACATTAAAAATGGAGAGGCGTTTGATCTTATCCACTAACGTCGCATTTTATTCCACAGCTGATGCGCGACGATAGTAAGGAAGTTTTAAATAGGCATGTAGGCGTGCATTTATGGCAAAATACCTTAGGCATTGTCTCTTATAAATAGTGACTGGTGGCATTTTGATGTGCTTATCTGGGATACCTAGACGTCGACAACAAGCCAACAATGTGAGGCCCCAGCTGACTCAACTACAACACAGGTAGATCAACAGCAAGTTCTGGCTCAACAGCAGCAACAGCAACAACAGCAGCAGTACCATCATCCTCAATTCGCTTACCACCACTACCACCAGCATCTTCTCCACCAACAGGCAGCTCAGCTGCAAGCCCATCATTATGCAGCTGCCGATTTAAACTACTACCGACAACAGCAATTGGCGGCACAACAACGTGTCTATCAGCAAGCGCAGGGCTTTCTGCTTGCCGCTACTGCGGCGGGTAGTGGCAGCAGCGGCGGGGTGGGTGCGGGAGGCGGAGGAGGTATCAGTGGTGGTGCTAGCGGTGGTGGAGGTGGCGGTGGCACTGCCTTCTTCTGCCAACCTGCCGCTGCTGTCACCGCTAATGAGAGTGCAGTAAATGGCACTGGAGTTATCCTTTCTGCTGCCGCGGCTGCCGCTACTACAGACCCCACCACCGCGCAACAGTTAGCTCAGCTTGCTGCTGCTGCTCATATGCAACAAGCAGTTGCTGCTGGAGGTGGATTACAAGTGGGTGATCATTCGTTTAATGTATGATTTGGAGAAGTCTTTATTGATAAAACTTCTGTGTTTTGAATGATCGCGTATAGGTATGAGTTGGTGATGAGACTGTACAACTCAATAACCTGGTGACCTTTGCAGAGGTGTGAATGTGAATTGAAGATGGTTATGACCAACCCCACCGGAAGGAACACCATTCTACTGATGTGTGTATTTCACTGATGATCTAGATCCACTCTTGGAACGACTTTAGAAGCAAAGCATTAACAATGATACAAACAGTCTGAGGAAGGTTTGATTTGAATCCTCGAGTCTTTACGCTTCATTTCGGGACATTGCAAGCATTACATCACAAAGGGAGGTGACTCAGTGTCTGGGGTAATGCTTTATTTCGTGGAGGATTGTCATACCTTACCCAATACCACGTGGACAATTCTATCAGGATGGCTGGCTGGTTTTAATTGTTGTTGTGATATGTTTTGTCTACAATGCAGTTGCCTGCACCAGAGAGGGGGTACAGTATTCTCTCACATGTGAATGGTTGTGGTTAGAAGCACAACATTGAACTGACCTGCAGTGGATTGCTCTGTTGGTAATGCGAACAGTTTAGTACTGTTTGGAGGAGGAATGATAAGTGCGGAGGCCTTTAAACACCTAGCTAAGAGTCATGGAACCTCTTTGGGTAAATGGGAGAATGGATGGTGTTGGGACGACTGCACTACCAAAAACAAGTGATTACGTCTAGAAGAGTCTGGTTTGCAGAGCCAGAAGAACGATTTAAGTGACTTTAGGAGGGCTAAATGCAGGTGCTAAATCTTCAGCAGGTTGGATTTATGATGAGGAGAATATCCATTTATAGGAGAGTAGTGTGGGCAGAGCCAAATCATTTCATTTTTATGGTACAAAAGAATGCCCTGCATAACAGAGGGTGGAGAAGCTCCCTGTCGTACCTTGAGTAGAATGCTTAGAAGCGTGCTTTCATCGCTACCAATGTGGCTTCGCATGATGAAGAATCGTCTACCTCGTGAAGTTGTCAAAGCGTTAATGGGCAAGTCCACTGGTACACAAACTAGAACGATAGCTGTTAAAAACGAGTTTAAGGGGAAGTACTGTTGCGCTCCACTTCACCCTATGGAATAAAAACGCTGAAAACTAACGCTTTAAGCAGGTTTATCAGCGTTCTGTAGGCCTATACCCTGTTCCCAGGGTAACTTTGACACAAGGGCGTATTTTTGCCTATTTAGAAGAATGCAAAAGCCATTGTCGCTAACATTATCTTGTCTGATATACACATGCACTCGCACACCACCCATTGTTACACAAAATGCATGTCTAATTGCTCATAAATATTCGTCTCTATTAGTTATTCTAGCGTCAAAATTCGTTCTCCTATTTCAAAAGGGTAAAAATTGTTTCATGAGTACTGGAAAGGGGAATGCGACCACTAAATTGGGTAGACGAGGATAAAACTTCCCTCATCGATCCGGGTCCATCTCATTCTGGTTCCAGGGTAAACAATTGCGTTAAGAAAGCCCAGTTTATTCGGTTCGTACACCTTTTTCCTTGCATTGGGTTGAGCCTCGTTAACCAAAGCTAGTCGTGTGATCTAGTGAACCCGCTTGCGTATGATCCTCCTAATAGGTCATGGCCAATGTGATAGCAGGCCAACAGCACCATCCAACAGTGGCAGCGCATCAACAAACGGTGGCATCGGCTACGGCGCCACAACATATGGGTCAGCATCAGACAGCTTTCTACGCCGCCTACCAACAACCCTACCAGACCACAGTACAACAGCAAAATCTTCAGCAACAACAACAAGCGCAACAACAGCAGCAACAGCAAGCACAGCAACAACAACAACAACAGTACCAACAACAAGCCCAACGCCAACTAATGCTTCAGCATGCTAATGCCGCCTATCGTCCAGTTGTCATGACGGCAGCAGCAGCGGCAGCGGCAACGACGTCTGCACAGAAGGCAATAGTGGTGCAAGACACTACTAGTGGGTATCAACAACAATTGGCCGCGTTCTGCCAGCAACAGCAGCAGCAGAGGCAGGGCTTTGTTCTAGCCTATCAGCATCATCAACAACAAGCTATGCAACAGGCAGTGGCTGTTGCAACCTCTCTTGAGCAGCAGCGGTAGCATTTTCCTTTTATCGTGGCCTCCTTGTAATATCACTACTTATTACTATTATGAAGGATCTTTTGTACAGTTAAATCATTCCTGAACACCAGTTTGTCTGTGTGTGGTTGCGTTTTACCACCCCGCAGCATTGTCCTCAACCAGCCATTATTACGCGACCCTGTCTTAACCAACCAAATTAATTTCCGTTCCTTCTTCCCCCTTCACACTCGACACATGCAAACATAAATGCGCGTGCACACACAGATAGGCATGGATCATCTTGCATTTGACTACGACACACATTTCATACACATTTGTGTGCTCATTTATCTCTTACTACCACTACTACTGATATCAGTAAAATATTAACAACCTTTACTTGGCGTTCTCGGTTTAGTTGGTGGGACCCAGTGAGTGGAGAAATAAATGGGCTTCGACGTAGTGGGAATTCGGTGCTGGAAAGTTATCTCATTCTTCGTAAGGGCTGATTGAACAAAGAACGAACGGAAAATGGCGTCCAGAGAAATGGCCTGGATGTAGTAGTTGACCTCCCACCAGTCCCATTAATGCCATCGAGGAACTGATTCAAGAAGTTAAATGGGAATGAATGCTTAGCAGTAGTGGCGCGCACTTGAGTCAACTGATCCATCCATGTCTACTGTTTTGAGGATCTCACACTCATGAACAACGTCACAACAATGCCGGGTGACATTCCAACAAATTTGATTCCGGTAGAATGGTGGATTAAGTGTTCGTTGGAACGAACATGACAGATCTTCTATGCCAGGAAGTCAATTAAAGGGAAAACAGTGACCGATGGCATCCATAAATCTGGATGATAAGAGCCGCACAGTCGTATGAAGACCTCCTCACAAGTTTACGGTAGGACCATCGTCGGAGTTTTCCCCGCCGACGAATGATGCACAAAGTGGAGCACGAAAGTCGGTCGGATTGTTAATCCTCGTGGGGCCAGATACGTCACATAATTTGAAAATTGTTGCTAGCTCGTCTCCCGACCACATTCCAGACAGTGATGATAAATGACAACTTAGTGGGTGTATAAAACAACGCCTTTATACCTATCGCATGAATCAATAGAGCTTATGGCACTAAACACATTAAAACTGATGAAATATCATGAACTCAACGGCTCTGCCTGCCGGTGATAAGTAGAGGTTAGATTAGCTTTCATCCATCACGGGAGTCAGGTCCAAGAGGTTGGAGATTTACTGTAAGCCAGGTGTTCAACATAGACCACATCATTCTTGAGTCAGACATCGCGACCGAATGGGACGATGGAAAATGATGAGACCTCACTATTGGCTTGATGCCTTTCACATACCTATGACAGAGGCAGCCATCGACGGAGTGAAGTGCCAATGTTAGTCACCTTTCAAACAACTAGCAACATCATTTTGGGGAGAAAGGTGGTGACATAGAAAAGACGAATTTGTTTCAGGAAATTACCCATTTACTGTGAATCTGACGACACCTGCATCAGTGAAAGAAATGAGAATAATGAAACAAAAGACTAAAAGGTGGGGTGAATCACAACCTCGCGTAGATTTTGTTAAGAAGTGAAAAAGAAGCATTAATGAACCGAAGTATTGTCAACTACAAATTCTCATTTCCCAAACCACAGCATTTGAAAGCTGAAATAGTTTGGGTGGAAATAATATAATGAACATGAGGCTGTCGAGTCAGGTTATGACCATGTTGAGCTCATAAGCATACAACTAACAAGCGGACTTCAAGGAGGGTAGAAAATTACTACAAAAAAGCGATGCTGGCAAAATTCCCAACCCTCAATACGCCATTGTAAAATATGATCCATCACGAAACAATTTACGATGAGACGCTAATCCGAAATATGCAAGTAGGCTGTATTCCATATTGTAAAACCAACACACCCGCACACTTACAAAATGGCTGAAATTTACAATGAGAATGAAGAAGTACGCAACAAAACCACTACCGCCAATTGTCACCCTTTCATCGGCGCTCTGAAACTGGGGCGCCACCCAGCTCGGCAATCTTGTCATCAACCATAATAAGGCGTCGGCGGAGCTCGTTGAGACGTTGTTCGGTGGCCGAGTCACTGTGAAAATGACCACCTCCTCCGCTGGATCGACCCTCGAAAGGGGAGCGCGATCTACCCGCATTACCTTGACGACGCGTGGTTCCACTGTGGCGACCACCACCGTAGGTGCGACTGACGTCCCTCTCCTCACCGCGGGAACGTCCATACCTGGAGTCGCCAAAATAGTCGCGACCTGACCGACCTGAAATTGTCAGATATTCTTCCATTATCCAGGTATCAATTAATAAATAAATGAATTAAACGGAAGTAGAACTTATAAATATTTCGAAAACTTTGGTTCCGGATTTGGTTTAATGGGTGTACCAAAGAAGGAAAATGGTCCACTAGAAGTTAATGTCTCAAACACAAAGACAAATGAATGCAGGAAAGCATGATAAGGGTAGTGAAAGCTATCGCCTTTTGATTATCCATTACCGAATAGAGGAATGAATGAACCCACCAAGAATGAACGTCTATGGATGAAGAATGTAGATCAGGGGATCCCATCATGCAACGAAACAGTTGTCAAAGGATGGATGGATTCGCAACGAATGAGAGTAAGAAAGTGAATATACTAAAAACCTTGGAAAATTGAATCAAGCAAGAACGGATGAATACGAGATACTAACATAGACCGATGATGGTCAAAAAAGATTTGAAAATGGGAGCGGATGAATCGATGCATAGTCAGGATGCTGAACCTTGAAGGTTTCTAGTACTGTCTACTCAGAATGCGCATTTCCAACCCACCTCGATCGTAGGATGGGATGCGTCGATCGGCCATTCGACGATCAAATCGCTCAGGCAGTGGTGGCCTTCGATCACGATATCGTTCCGAGGGTGGATAAGGTTGGCCACCCCGGGGAAATCGGTCCGCTCGATCATGGTAGTCGCCACTGGCACGGCTACGGTGACCATCAAAACGACCTAAAAGGGTGGAAAATAGGTGACGTTAACGTCACAATCAGGAAGAACGTTGTGAGTCATTGGCAGTCAGTAAACTACAAATTCAAATACGCCTCTGGCGACTTATTTGTTGGAGGTCAAAACGTGTTCCATTTCAAAGGACTTCTGATTCCAAAAATCATCTTCTGCACAATAAATAGGAGATCCTGATGTTTACGCCATTTGTAAAGGAGGAAGTCACGAAATCGTGTTCAACCATTGCAATAAATAAACCCGTGGTTAATAAATTCCTTCATACTCAGAACTTGACAATTTTGCCGCTTCCAGTGGCGTTTCGACCAAAATAAATGCAGATAAAACAGGACGAATTTAATGTAAACAAGTTTATTTCGGAGTAAAATGCGCAGCCGAAATGCGTGCAAAGACTAGGCGACAGAATGAATTGCACGGTCAAGAAAAAACAGTCAAACATATCCTAACTAGTGCCGCAGATGAAATCAGTAGAATAAGCAGACTGCTTAAAAGAGAGGGAGAGCATTACAATTTAATGATGCACAAGGATACTTGTAACCCTTCCCTGCTGCCGATTCTGCGGCAAAGGACTCACTACGATGGAATTTCAAGTTGGGCTGAGACTGCCAAAACGTGTTGTTGTAGAGATATTATGCACAACAGTTAACTACCGCATTATCTGAAACACCCCAGTTGCTTTTAACAAAGAAGGTAAGCAACAGTAAAAAAACGTAGCTATATCAAACTTCCTAGTCAGAAGACCGAAGTTTTGCAAATGAAAGCGTTAAATCCGAAGATGCGCAAAGCGAGGTCTAGGCACACTACTAGTCGAAGACAATTGCATCAGGGTCTATAGGTACGGAATGCTAAAAAACAATCGTACATCGGTTAGTAATAATCTCCAGACGATTCCACAACCTCAGGGATTATTCATGCAGCGAACCGGCTAAAGCATAAAAATGGGGACGAGCCCCTGCGTAATGGTTGCAAACACAGCACAACCTTACACCAGCATTCATAAATTATAGGACCACTGGGTACAAAAAAGCCCCTAGCAGGGTTACTTTGATAAAATCAAAGTCATTTTTCCATGAAATCAAGCTCACAAAAGCAATAAAAGTAAACAAACGCGAAAACATTCTGGAGTCAGCTTCTGAACAGAGCTGAAGTAAACCAAGTTACTCGTAAAGATGTCTTTCAAAAAAATCTTGCCTTGATCTGCCGCTCTGCTCCTGGCTCTGCTGGCTGCCTCGTCAGCTTCAAACCTTCTGCTTCGTGAGTAAGGACGAGCAGGGGCGGCAGAGGTCGGAGGTGAATTGAGAGGAGGAGGTGGTGGTGATTCGAAGCCGCCAGGACTAACCGCAGTGTAACCCAGGTGACGCATACGTTTCGCCGCGTTAAGCGACGCGAGGCTAGTCTTATCCCGTCGGCTTGGTGAAAGGGAGCCACTTCGACCACTTCTGCCACCCCGACCGCCACCACTGCTGGCTGAGGATACAGGTGAACCACCGACCTTGTAATCATTGTCACGATGTGCTCTTTCTAATGCACTTTCCGGCAACACCAGACCACTCTACGAATAGTCACGGTTAGGATTAAACAGTCGCTCATTGCTCAATCTTATCAGGCAATAAGGTTCAAAAGGGAACGCTTCCCAAAAAAGTAAACGATTCCAAACTTACTTGAATGAATTCCGGAAAAACCAAAAAATTAAGCAAACTTTGTATTACCACCAGCGATTATAAGCCCATGTATTCCCAAAAGTGAACAATCTTGAAATATACCACTTCTTTTCGATGTGATAAAACTAGTTAAACCAACTAATCTAAGTAATTAAACCTATTTCGTCACAGAATTACAAATTATTTTTAATTTAGGTTCCCAATAAAACAGTAAAAAAATGCCAATCATAAAGTAGCAGCTAAATACTAAAGCAAAGCTTCAGCTCACTCTAACGCGGGGTGCAATTTTGAGCTTGACGCCGGGACGAGCAGAGGCAGAGGGAAGGGCCTTAGTAGTGGCCGTAGCGTTAGGAGGCGGGGCAGCAGGATTGACAGCGCCCGCAAGCAATGGCACCGACTGCTCAAAGGGTACTTCAGCCGGCGGTGGTGGATTGCCAAAGTAACTATCCGCAAAGGGACTGCGGCTCTTGTGACGGGAAGAGGCAGCTAAAGACATCGGAAATTGACACAGTGTTGAAATAGCTTGCCATAAATGATATCCAATACTGGCCTTTGTAAAGATAGCTTCTCTATTTTAATTAGATGAACCCACGAATAAAAACTGATCTAAAGCTTTGGTGCCCGCACAGCCTAAATATGGAACGCCTAACAAAGTAAAAAGAATCAAATGGCATGCTGAAATCCCGATTTAAAAGTACCTAGAGGAATAATAGATTGAACGGTTTCTCCAGATGTTGAAAAACTCTAACGATACCTTACGTCTGCACTGTATGCATGTTTACAAAAACAGGTGCAAGGTAAGACTTATAAGTTTGATGGAAGCATTTAACTCTTCCAACTGGTGATCACTAGACAATCCTGAGACAATAAAACGATCCGAAAGAAGCTGATTTCATTGCAAAACCCATAGCAATCAGGGGGATTTAGATACATACGTCGTTTCCTAGGCGGAGAAGACACAGTCTGCGGCGTAACGACATCAGGGAGGGTGGGTTTGGAGGTATGTTGACGACTGCGTGACTGTGACCAGGAGGTGATATAGGTAGCAAGTCCCGCTCCATCATCTCTCGGGGAGCTCCCACGTGAGGCAGAACAAGAACGCGAGCGGGACCGACGTGACCGCGAGTGCTGATGCGTGGGCTGTGGAGGAGAACGCTGACGCATCTGCGAACCTTTTGGACAATTCAAGAGCCGCACTTAAAAGCAATGATTACATTCCAAAACACCATAATAACATGTGATTTTCAATAAAGCGGATATGTAACCCACCCCTAGATTTTGGCGGTTCTGCCACCCACGGACGTTTTACTGGCCGTTCCGAAGGCATCGGAGGAGGACGGTCGGGACTCCTAAAGAGTTAGATATTCGCCATTGGTTGTCACGACTTCACATTAGTAACAACGGGTTTCACGACTGAACTAGTGATTAAATGAGAAATCGATGAAACATTAAAGAAACGCCTCTAAATTTTGCAATGAAGCAAAACAATCAGTTATCCGAAGTGTGATTAAAAGCAAGATCGAATATCAAATCCATACTGAATTCCATCCAGATTTCCAGCCACCGATCACCGCGAAACCAAATAAGTAAGAAAAAAGAGCGAAGAAAAGAAACCACAAACCTATTTGACAACTCATACCAGCGACTTGAATCACCATAGCTATGTCGATTTGAGTAGTTAGAGCCGTTCTCAGCGTCCCTGAAGGCACTTCGACTGAAGCTACTCTGTTGATGATGATAACCGCTGATTTGAGGCGGGGGTGCTGCAGGTGGATGAGATTGGTCCCCGTAAGACACTACCGGAAGACGTCTACTCTTCAAAGTGTCTATAAAATGAAAAAGGATGCTACTCAAGCACTTCAGTAGCGAAAAATGCTAGATAAGAATCCAAACCCCAAGAACGACTTACGATCCTCGTCTCTCGATCGAGGCGATACCATAGGACCCTCATCTTTCCCGGACAACCGACTCCTAGTTCTTAAATATGCGTTGGGAGCAACAGGAGCAGGGGAGGAGGATGAAGAGGAGGCAGAATAGACTCCTCTACCCTCTTTGCGCTGTTGATTTTTCTGGTTCACTTTTGAGGATGAACGTGAGGTGCTTCTGCTACTAGTTGCACGGCGTCCACTTCGACTTCCACTACCACTACTGCTTTCACTAGTACTACTGCTACTACCCCTAGAACTGCTCCCACGCCTTCCTCCGCCACTACGATGACGACGTCGACGCTGCTCCTCACGATCCGAGTCGTCTGCCAAAACGAGATCGGGTACCGCGAGGAGGATCGAACCAGCAAGAGAGGAGAGAGAAGAGGCTCGAGAACCATAGTTGGAAGTAGTCAAGGAAGAAGTGGATGACGATGAGGAAGGGGAGGAGGAGGGAGAAACAGCAGATGCATCTGATGATCTTGCACGAGCGTCTGAAAGTCGCCTACGCCAACGAGCCATTGTGCGCTGAGATGGCGGAGTCAAATCACAGGGCAGACTACGTTCGCATGTCAGCTGGGTAGAGCCGATGACGGCTAATTTGTGGTAATTAATCCAGCTACAAGAGCGAAGCCAGCGCATAGATAGTGAGCACAACAAAAGGATGCAATTTGTAACTGGAGACCCACAAGGTATCAGCAAGGCTAGAACGGCCTATGTCGCAAACATCAGCATAAGCGTCGTCCTCATTGGGGTCAGGAGCCACGACAGTAAAATTGAGTTTTTTATCCTCGAGGTCTACATCAGACTGGCGCAGAAGTTTCGCTTTCTTGGCACGCTTAAAAAGAAACATATGAAATTAAACCTTCAATGCAAACTATTGTTGGTCCATTAACTCAACACATTTAATAGAAGCAAAAAATCTAGGAAAAACCAGTTAAGAATAGCAGTGGCGATAACTAACCTCACGGGCAAGTCTAAGTCCGCGTTCCCAGGGAGTTTCTTCCGCTGACGATTGATGCTTATCAGTCTGATCGTCCTAAAAGTCAAAGATAATAACTACTGTGTCTAAAAACTCCTCTAGAAAGTAGGAGGTTACACACATCATTGGAATCCTCTTCTCCGTCAGTAGTAAAGCCTTCACTACTGCTTTCCCGAGACTCCTCCTCACTATTAAGTTCACCTTCGTCGTGATCAAGTTCCCTGGTCACATTAGCACGAACATCAACCATTTCAACTAAAAAATCCAACCACAAATAATATCTACTAAAGAGTAATGCAAGTAAAGTAGCATTATGGAAAGCCAAGAGTAAAAAAATTCTGTAACGATGAGAAGGTCAAACATAAAAGGGCAAATCTAATCACTAAAAAATGCTTATCAGACCGATATCATAAGATAAAAACCACCTATTATATTGTCCAACAGATTGGCAAACAAACCACAGTAAATTACCTGTCCGAAAGAAACCTCGAAACTGGCTCTGCTCGATAAACAAGGTGAATAAACAATGTGTAATGAGGTTGCAAATTTCGCGAATATAACTTAACAAACAAGCTTTTCCTATAACAATCATGGAAGCGTTTTGTAAAAATGAGATCGAAACTAAAGTTCCACATTAACGCTTATGAATACTCTAAAGGTATATTTGCCATACATTTCATTGCCAATTTAAAAACAAAGGTCTTAAAATTGATGAGGGCTTTGAAGTATAACGCTTTAAAAGTTTTAAAGCTCTTAATTTTTGATAAGGGCACATTGTTTATTTTTCGTAATTTGCAAGGCTGGTCTTTTATCTGGTACATGGTTATAACTACAACCCATTAGGGAGTCGAATGCGCGCAACCTTGTCTATTTGAAGACATCTGTAACACTTTTTATGCGTAACCACTTTGATATTTGTCTTGTCCCTGTACGTGAGAGTTCGGTTTGTGTTTATATCATGACTCCATCCCTTTTCCCTTCATAGTAAATGCATTCATTATATCTTATTATCTAGTGTCTGGTGATAAAAGCCCAACCACTGTTCACTGTGCCCTCTTATAAGCTCTTAAATACCAAGATATGTTCACCTAGTTAGAGTATATATCCAGATGGAGACAAGCGGATGGGTTCCGAATAAAGATGCGAAATTCAACCCCACCATGTACCACGAATCACAACCTCACGCCTAACAACAAATGTGGACTAACAAGTCAAGATTGTAACTATAGCATCCCGAGGCTTCCCATAGGGTGTAAGAAGGCATAAGTTAGGTTGAATACATGTACTCCCAAGACAACAGGGCAAATGGGCCTGAGCGTGACCCGAAGGCCAACCCACATGTGCAAAGACTAATCAAATCCTAAAGTTACCGCCAAACGTCAGGCAGTCACGTAAACAATGCACTACACTGCTTCTCTCTCTTCTTTTGAGCGGTGTCCTCATCGCTCCCCTTTCGCACACCTCCCGCACCAACCATCACAACATATTCCGTACTACATGAAAGCACCCACGAGCCAACTGCGCCAGTCGACGGACAACACGGGACTGAGGAACCGTAACTGATCTCTTCAGCAGCTTCAACAGGATCTGGTGTTGGGTTCGGTCTGACAACCAGATACGAGACCGCATACACCTGTTGACCATCAATTGCTTCCCCGTCTAGACGGTGCAACTCTGGTCTACAACAGTTATGCTACAGGGAAAATGGGATGAGTCACTGCTCACTATGTAAGGAGAACCGTGGTGTCATTTCCGACACCCAAACATGGATTTTGTATGGGAAATCCCAACACGAAACACTTCCAGATAGTACAAGGCGGTGTCACTTCGGATGTTAATAGCTTGTCTGTGGAACACGCGAATAAGGTGAAGCCAAATGCAGACGTCAGTCTAGATACTTTCGTTGTGGAGGTGTCAGAGATTCTCCGTCACCAAGGCAAATGCGTCTCCTTCAATTTGCGTGCCTTCTCGCCTCTATCTTCATCCATTGCCCTTCGATAGATCGAGTCAGACTTCCTTCCACACATGTATAGCTCATGATTGCTAGTGCACAACGCCAAAATGCGCTTAC